CAGTTGCCCTAGGTTTTGGAATTTATTATTAGTGCTGACATTAATATCACCTAGCGCAATAAGGTGTGCGATCTTATTTAGATTTTGTTGCCGAATCTTTTTCAATATTGGCACATACGACAGAGCATCAAGACCCATTTGTCCAGAGAGCCATTTGCTGAATAGTATCATCCAAAGGAGTATATCACCCCAGGAAGCATCAGCATTGTTAGTACCAAAAGCTAACGGGGAACATGGAACATCGATTATAAGGCGCTTATTGAAAGAAACATTAGTTTCCAACACCGATTGTAGAAGAGAAATTATAAAAGGTAATTTTCCACAATGGATATGATTTAAGGTTATAACAAAATTCCTATGAACAATGAAAGCAAGAAACGTCCAGCTTTAATGACACCAATCGGAGACCAGCCCAAGAGAAAACATAATGTCTCCACGAATTCCAAGGCCACGAAATGATTCAGTGGTTCGTAGATTCCTTGGGGTTTTTCCGAAAAATTGTAAAAAGACGACAGCAAGATAGCACAACCGTTAAGCATCTTACAAAAAAAACCGTTCGTATGGCTTAAGTCAGATGCGTTCTCACGTTGTTTGAAAAGCCTCATGAAGTGCACGCTGATTTTATCAGCAGAGGAATGAGAGGAGACTGTTTCAAGAAGAAGAAGAAGGCTTAAGCCCGTGTTTTACTTTGGCCGCCCATGTAGTGAGACATGGAATATAGCGCTATATATATTTTTGATTGGCATCAATAGCCGAATCGATCTAGCCATGTCCGTCCGTCCGTCCGTCCGTAGAAAGACACTTGAAATTTTAGATGTAGGTGCTCCTAATGCAGATAGTTTCCGATAATCGATAACTTACTCCGTTTCTAAGCAATCGGTAAAAATCGATATTAATATCCTGACTTGACTTTTTCAGAATACACAAATATTCCATGGTATAATAAGATATACTGTAGAAAATTTTATAAGGAAAAGAAGAAAAAACCAGTTATATGCAACTGCGCAATTGAATGGGGTAGCAGCTTTAAACATTTCTGTATACATGTACACACACACATTCGTGCGCGTCTGCTTCGCATTCTAACAGCATGGAAATTGCGACTTCTTTCTGTAATGCTATTTTAGTTCGTGTTTTTCTCATAACTATTTAATTATTGGTGTGGCTGCTGAGTAGAGGCATAGCAAGTGGTGCGGTCTGTCGCGAGTTTGAGCCCTACCGAGAAAAGTATATATATATATTTTTTTTGCTGGTGTTGCTGTTGAGTAGAGTCGACAGCAAGTAATGCGGTCAGGTGCGAGTACGAACTCTGCCAAGGGAACTTTTTTTAAAATTTATTTGGTGTTGGAATGAGAGGGTTCAGGATACCTATTACTTGTTGTCATTATAACCATGCTTTGGTACGGCGAATTGCATTATCTTGCTGAAATACCCACTTGGAGCGCCTCGTCTCTTCCTGTATAGAAAGCACATCAGACCATAAGGGAACCGCATCCAAAGTTTTTTTTGGAAATAACGAGGCTCCTATCTAAAAAAAACCCTGCAGTACACTTAATATCCTTCAGAGCATCTAACTAGGGATTTTTGAATTTGACATTTCAATCATTACCTTACATTAACCTTTGACTGCTTTGAATTTCTTGCAACGTTCCAGCGGGACACCCAATGAGGTTGCAGTCATGGGCAATCTTCATATAATTATTTAAGCATTATGAGTTGCTTATCTCGGTCAGAAACTTTTGTTTTTGGGACTCTCATCTTCTTACTGCCGTATTCTTCAGGGTTAACAAAAAAATGTTGAGACATTTTTTGATTTATTCTTCTGTTTATGATGAATTCAGTGATCTTAACATTTGATATGCACATTTGCATTGTTGCTGTTGATTACAGTTGTGAGTTTGAATTATATATAGATATCATCAAAACACACTTCATCTAGGCATCTTTTAAAATATAGAAAAGTTGCAACACATGCGACCTAATTCATAACACTAGCCAGGATCGTATTGAATCATTGTTCAGAAGTAATTTATGCTTTTTGCCTTACGAAGTTTAAATTGGGACCCCAATCTTCGGTTGCCATCCTAATCCAGTATGCTTCCTCTTGATCTTCCGTCCTTAACCAACCGTCGGCCAATCCTCGATTCCATAGATTCTTTTCTCTTAGTACGTTTTCAATTGTCTGTTCCATCTACCAGGAACATACCCATACAAAATCGTTGCATTTAAGATACGGACAGGCTATAAATTTTCCCCCAGTGATATACTATATTTATATCCTAACACTATATATATATATATACACTTCTTTGCTTTTTGAAGAACTTCTTTCCTTATTTTTTCCTATTGAGTCGCTAACCTACTCTCATCGAGATCGGTTGTGCCGCGCATAGACAAAGTACGAGTTGATCAATTGTGCAATCTACGTGTGCTAAAAATAGCACAAATCGAAAATTTCGAACGATGTCTTGTGTAGTGTCGGCAATTTGACAACAACAAAACGCAAGTGTAGTGCGATAAGACTGCATTCGTTGCCCGTTTGGGCAAAACATTACCCCTCTCTCCGCGCGCAACCGCACAAGAGGGGCAATAAACGCCGCGCTTATCAGCTAAGTTTTCTGTTATAAGCTTAACTTTAGCTTTAAAGTTAACAAATATAAACTAAATTTATATGGATAAGAACATTTTTCTAACTCTCAGCTTAGTAATAAGCCGATTGATTATGGAAAAATGCGCAAAGTAGCTGGAAAATCACCATTGGAAATCAGGAACGATTTTAATAATAGCCTGCTACGAACTGATAGTCAGAGCATCAGCACAATAACAACAACTTTAACATTTACTAGTGCAACTAGTTATTCTATTTACACCACGGCAACTGCTGCAACCAGCAGTGTGAGCGATAGCGGAAGCATGGATAACTATGCAGCTGGCTTTACCCAATGCGCATCAGACATTACCTCTCCAACAATCGGTGGAGCTTCTAAAATAGACTCCTTAGTTCTTAGTGAAGCTGCAACAAAATTGGTGGCAGCCCAAAAGAATCTGAAAAATAAGAGGACGAAACCATTATCTCCCAATACTTGCTCTAAGAGGCCGAATATAGATTTGAAGCTAGTCTCGCCCTCAGCATCAACAAGTATGGCAATTTCTGGCAAAAGGTTTGCCTTGCTAGACATATACATGGACATGAATGTAACAAACGAAAGCCACGTTGAAAGTCACAGATCTCCAAATGAAACCGCTTCTGAGGCTGATCAGCAGAACAATACTAACGTCAGTATTGATGTAAGTGTCACAGCCAACAACCTACAACATAAAGCAAACAATACCAACGACCAGCTTCACGGTACCCCAAAGCCACCGCAAATAGTTGTGAGTCCTATGCCTCAATAGCAAGGAACGGCAACGAACCTGCCCAGCGCCGTCTACATGGTTTGCAAGCGCAACAATAGTTACTAAAGCCAATAGAAAATATCAGGCAGCAGCAGCATCCAGCTGACGTTCAATCATTATTGCAACAGCAACAGCAATTTCTCTTGTGGCTTCAGGAGCAGCAACGGGAGCAACAACAACAAAACAAGCAAAATAGTGAATGACTAGAACGGCTGGAAAAAATGGTCCATTAAATGGCCAGCATGATAAAGCAATGGACAGGGGATAGATCGACTCCCCAGCTTCATAGCAACGCCTCAGCCTCCCAATGAGCCCACTCAAGATCCTTATCTGGAATGCTAATGGCATCGCAGGAAAAGCCAGTGAAGTTGAGCTCTTCGCGCACAACAACAATGTCGACATTCTCCTTCTAAGTGAAATCAGACTAAACCGAGGAGAAACAGTTAAAATACACGGGTACACCTTCTATCCAGCTTACAAGCCATTACGTCACAGTCACGGTGTCGGAGGAGCGGTATTCGTGAGGAGTACTCTCCGCCATTTTCCACAAAGAGTAATTGAAACGAGCACCATACAAATGTCTTCAACAAAAGTTGCCACAGGTTTGGGAAACATGGAATATAGCGCTATATACTGCCAAGAAATAGAATTGAAGAAAGGCATTTCAGTGACATACTCGCTACATGCGGCCAAAGGTATCTGGTTAGTGGAGACTGGAATGCGCAAAATTGGCTGTGGGGAGATACCTACAACTCACCCAGGGGCCGTGAACTAGCCGAAACTATTACAGCCAGAGGAGCTAATATTCTCGCAACAGCATCATCATCTAGATACCCATATGTGTCTAGTCACACACCTAGTTGCATTGATTTCGCATTATACCATCGGATACCGGATTCTTAAACAAATACCGGCCAAAGCTGGGATCTAGACTCTGACCATATAGCCCTTGTTCTAAATTTGCAAACAGATAGTTCTTATGTCAGGCCAAACCCTCGATTAATTACTAACCGTACTGACATCATGGCTTTCAGACAACATCTTGAATGCTCGTTTCAATTAAATCCGACCTTGGACTCTGGAGTAGACAATGAGAATGCAGTAGATTTTCTAACTGAAAATATACATAGCGCTGCTACTGCCACAACTCCACCCATCACCGAGTCACTTCCCTTTCGTTATGGCATTGTTCTCACGAGGGAGGCTAAAGAGGTGATCAGAATAAAGAGATGCCTTCAAAGAAGAGCAATTCGATCACAAGATCCTTGGGACCGAATATTGTGGAACCGAGCAGCAAAACAGCTACGTAACCTCCTAAGGGAACTCAGAAGTGATTTATTCGAGCAAAAACTGGCTTCCATGGACTACATGGACTATGGAAATGTACAAAATCACTCAAACGACAACCCTTTAGACAGGTACCTGTCCGATGTAGCGAAATTGCTAAAAACGAAAGGGAACAGGCTAATGATTTCGGATATCATCTTGAGGCTCGTTTCACTCCTTATGAATTTGCTACGATAGAGCAGACCAGGGAGACCCTTCAGACTCTGCAGAGCCCCCTGCAGATGTCCTTGCCTATTGAGCCTATAAGGATTGAAGAAATAACTGACGCAATCCAGCTAGAAAAATAAAGCTCCGGGTATCGATAGGATCTGTAATGCTACGCTGAAAGCCCTGCCTACAAGAGTGCTTCTGTATATAGTGCTAATTTTTAATGCTATTATCCGGATCCAAGTGTTCGCAAAGCAATGGAAACTAGCAGCGATTATTATGATTCACAAGCCAGGCAAACCAGAAGCTGATCCTGAGTCGTATCGGCCAATAAGTCTCTTACCCTTCCTGTCTAAACTATTACAAGCCAATGCAATATCTTGCCGGATCACCAATTCGGATATCTAGAGGGACACGGCACTGTGGAACAGATGCACAGACTGGTAAAGCACACCATGCAGGCTTTTGATGACATTGACATGCAGCAAGCGTTCGATAAGGTGTGGCACGATGGATTACTGTAAAAAATTAAAAACCTTTTACCGGCACCGTACTATGGCCTTCTAAGGTCATATCTAGAAGTACAAGAGTTCAAGGTCAAGGTAAGGGACACATACTCGTCCACCTATACTATGAGAGCAGGATTGCCACAGAGCAGTGTTCTTGGTCCGCTGCTGTACTCGTTGTATACCTCAGATATACCCAGCCCTACCTCTCAACATATGGACGATCCCTCTTTGGGAGATTGCAGCCAAATCAAATTATAAACGCATACAGGTACTGCAGAATCGGGTATTACGACAAATAACCAATTGTCCCTGGTACGTACGCGGTTCTACACTCCATAAAAACCTCAAAGTGCATACAGTCGAAAACAGATTGGAAGGCACACAAGCAGATACAGCGACAAATTGCTGAGACACCGCAGCCTGCTCGCAAGAGGACTACTCCCTGCCCAACCTCTAAGGCGACTCAAACGGCAAGGTTTTGCCAAGACCACTCGCATATAATCCTCATACTACTTTATGGGGTTCGGCTAGAGCCGAATATAAATAACATTTCTATCCATGTGTTGTTAAGGTACTAAATTATAATTGTACAGGTTCTAAAAAAAATTGTTCCTATTTGTTGTATTTTCTTAACTTATATAATTTATTTTTTATTTTTACTTAAGAGCAATATGTTCTCTTCTGACGCCCTTCTTCTGAGATGTAGACTCTAATAGCGTCACTGACAAAATGAGCTATGAAAAGGGGTATAGATTGCCGGTCATACAAATAGAACACCTCCATCTGTCGGTGATGCTGTTAGTAAATTGCGTATTTCAACTAGGCTTTTAGCAACTATTTTTCATAATGGGATATATTGAATAATTAGGAAGATACTCGCTTTTGTCTACTATTAATAAATTAATAAACATTCTAACAGTGTCTAATATGATACAGATCCAATCGTCCTCGTGGTGGCGGTATACATTTTATGTTAACCCAACAGCCAATACTAGGTAAATAATTATGATTTTCCTACTGTATAAATGGTTTTTTTAATACTTCACCATTTATATCATATGCATAGTAGTTGGGACTACACAGATTTAACAGGCAGGTTAGCGTAAGCCACTGTAGTTAAAGATTAGAGATTTCATAAATTTCGCCCAAAAAGTGTAGACTCTTGCTTGAGCGGAATCAATTTTGTAATGCAAATCGGTGCTCTTGGTGAAAATTATGTATTATTTTTACTATAACATGTAACGTTTTTTTGATAGACTTTATAACATTCTTAATATATTAGTTATATTGTAACAAAGTAACTTACTGAGGAGGTTGGGCCAATCCGTCGTGTGGTGGCCGTTCAATATCAAAGTCCTTAGGGAAGTAAGGTGAAGTATCTGGTCTAAAGTCAGTACCCGGAGGCAAATATGTGTATGTTTTCGGAGGATCTGGTATAAGATTTTGCCTATCGAATGAAACGATTTTAGCAGTATACTTAACATTAAATTATTGTATATTTACCTAAATGTTTGAGTGTAGGGACTGGGGTCGCTTACACCAAACTTGTTTTCTACGCGTATTCTAAACTTATAATCCCTAAACGGTTCAAGGTTTTTAATATCACATGCACAACTACGGATTCCAGTTCTTATTGTATGCCAATCACCATCTGGTAAGTCGAGTCTTTCGACCTATTTTATCAAAAATAAGTTTATTATTTAAGCACTCGTAAGATAAGTTGATGTATATAACAACTTACCTGATATGTGACAGGATATCGAGGGGTTAATGGTACCGACGGTTTCCAGGATAATAGAAGACGCCGATCTGTCATTCGTGATATAATGGGACCATCCGGAAGAGGAGGGGGAGCTCCGGTTTTTTTATACTGTTTAAAGTCTGTGTACTGCTCTCCTAAAGGACGTTGATGCGAATCTATCACTATTAAAATTTAAAAATATAATGAACCATTTAATATAACTATTTTTTGCTATCAAAAAGATAAACCACAAAAAAGATGTTCTATAAATACAGGTAAATTGCTATATAATAATAGAGTATCCAGGTATCATTAGCCTAGCTTCGACTTGCCGTTACAGACTTTCAAACTTTTTTCTATATGTTCATGCTCAAAAAGCACATGAACAACATCTTGAACGGCAGTCGACTTCCAGTCTTGAATCCTCCGTGATAAAGGCCGCTCTTGTTTTTTTCACAGATAATAATCAGTAGACCTAAACCTTTGCAGGCCAGTAGACACTAATTTTGTGATGTCTGGTGATGAAGGTTGTATTCAGACGATGTTCCCCATGTTTCAGACAGAGACCCATTAACATTGACTTCACAATCAAACATCTACCGGCCTAATATGACTGGGACGAGAGTTAAGATACGCAAAGCCACCGAAATATAATTGTTGTCCAAATTCGACTCAAGGTAGTGAAGTTTCCGACTAGCAGAATTTCGCACCGTAGTCTAAGGTTAGGTATCATTGTGTTGTTAAGGAAGCAGAGTGATATTTTTACAGACAAAGTGAAGTTTACGATAATTAATCAGAAAATGTAAAAAATAACGATCTTTTAAAACATTGGCACACGCTCGGACATTCAATCAAATCACGGGCTGATCATTATAATTAAATAATTTGGTGGCAATAGCTCTAAAATGAAAGATACTTGATATATATCTACTAATCTATAGCCTACATGTCAAGATTGGTAACCATATCATTTATTACTTACGAGACTTCTTGAAAAAACAGGATTCTGATATTTATTTATTCGGATATTGATCGATTTTTATCGATTACTTTGAAACGGGAAATTTATCGATTGTCGGAAACAAACTCGTACTGCGCAGGCACTACGAGAACCTTTATTTCAAATATTAAGTCTCTAGGTCTTGTAGGTTCTGAGATCCTTGCGTTCATACATACCGACGAACGGATAGACAGGCGGTAATGGCTGGATCGGATATTGATGCTGATCAAGAATAAGTATATATACTTTTTCGGCTCGGATGTGCCTTTAGAACTAAGTCGGCTTTCAGCTGCTATAAAAAAAATTTGCTGCTTGTAGAATGGAATAGTGGATAAAACAAAAATTGATCGAGCAGTTTGCTAAGTAAGCATTCATATTTGTCAACTCAGCATAAGCGTGGTTGGTCCTGCCAGCTCTATTACCAGCTACATAACAATTTAGTATTGAGCGGAGCTCTATATCATTTTTCATTCGCTATTGGCCAAAGACCGAGATTTCCTGCTTTTGCTTAAATAAGTTTTTAAGATTGTGTTAAAGGGAGCACGTCTCTCTAATAAAAATAACATTTTTGCACATCAAATTTAATTCTCCATTAAACATATTTAAAATGACCAATTTCTGATCATGACAATCGATGCAATCAAGAATATGACAAGGAATATCAATTCATACAGAAAACAATATTAAAATTGTAGTTCAAAATCACATTCTAAACAAACTTCTCTTCTCAAAAAAGGCTTATGAAGACCCACTGCAACATCAAGAAATAACAGGAAAGAGGGCTATCTTCAGCACTCCGAAGCTTTAATACTCTTGCAGACCAAACAATTTCATATTACTCATAATGCGTTTCCCGTTTCCAAGAAGCACAGGGAAAATGCTGATCTTAAACCAAAGAGTTCTTTATACAAGAATCTATTTTTCGACCGATCGTGCGTAAATGTAGGGAACATGGTGAAACTTATAAATGCTAAATTTGGTCAAGACATCTAAAAAAAAAAACTAAACAAATTTTTCATATAACAATTTAATTATCGACCGGTTCTTCCTATGTCAGCTATATTGTATAGTGGTCCAATCCCGACGGCTCTGATATACCGACATTCCGACATGGTATGTAATGCGTGCATCAGCAAAAAAAGGTCTTCTGCAAAGTTTTATGATGATAGCTTTAAAACTGACAGACTAGTTGGCATAGAAACAGGCAGCTGGACAGTCGGACATAGCTAGATCAACTCGGCTACTCCATGGGGTCGGCGATGGCTCCCTCTATGCGTTATATATTCCCATTCCCATTTACTGTTTACCGTTAGTCAATGTATTCTAGATAAGCATCAACAGCCGAGTTGACATAGCCATATCTGTTTGTCAGTTTTTGTGCAAACTTGTCTGTCAGTCTTAGAACTGTGGTCTTGAAGCTTGGCATAGGTCTTTCTGTTGCAGGAAGTATATATGTATATATATATATGTCGAAACTGGCCGGACCAGACACCTGTCATATAGCTGCCATAGGAACATAGAAAAATGTACAAAAAAAGCTTAAAAGAATATTCTTACTTAGGTTTGAATACCAACTCCATCTAGAACCGCTTTAACTTTATTTTTCTCCCAATTTTGATATTATTGCTTTTACTGAGACATGAAAAACCGGACATCTTAATCTTGATGCTTGAATATTTCACCACTTACAGATGTGATGCAGCATGCCGTCATAGGAGGAGCACTTATTGTTTTTTCGGGGGAACACATTATGCTAAAATTTCGAACTTAAAGTTTGTAAAAGTTTAAAAGTATAGTTCGTTTTTTCGCTTTTATATGTTGCCTCACTTTCTAACATGTCTAGTGTCTAAGCCATCTGAGTCCTATTAAATCGAGATCCTTCCTGCTCTCCAATAACGACGTCAAGATAGTTTTTTGCGACCTCAGTCATCCAGTGGTTGCCCTGTCTTAGCCAATGAATTTAACCTTTCTCTTGCATTCTACGTCGAATGAATTTATTGACGATCAACATGAGTTTTCCTGATCACATGTTAAGAGAGATATTTCTTGATTGTATCTTTGTGTTTGATTATTAATTGAATAGCTTTGTGCACTGGATTGAACATGTATCTATGTATGAATTACAACCAATGGATCGAAAAAATTGTTTTCGTATGTCTGATTTTTATAAGCTCAACGACTGCAAGTTGACCGATCCCCATTAGCCAATTGTGCAGAAATTGATGTGGCCATAAAATTCTTTTATTAGATACTACGTTGATTAGCTGAATTAATCTAATGGACCTCCCTCGTTCTAAAAGGATTTGATAAATTAAGTCGCAATGTAATAATCAATGAAATCACTTTTATTTCTCCTGTTATGCAGTCAACATAGTAAAATTTTCAATCGCCGTTGGCTAATTGCCGATCTGTTAGTAGACCTTTATCAAGCTGAACTAATAGTGTACCAACTTGTGTACTTAGGTATTCTGCCGCAGCACTTTGTAACCTATCTTACGACATTTTGTGATGTCTGTTAACACGTTATCTTTCCCTGCCATTTCGTGTAAAATTTTTTTCTATAAAAAGGGATTAAATCTGATGCTGGAAACTTTTGCTAGAGCCTTTTTCGAGAATCGTAACATGAAAACTGAAATACTTATTAACGCGTCTCTATTATTTCAGCATAATAGTATGAATTCGTGAAGCTTAGAACATTTTTGATTTTATATCCCCAGTCATTAGCGATATTAAGAAATTAATGGAGAATATCATCTTTTATACAGGTTTTAGTAATCCTTTTAATTTAGCTTTTAATCCTTCTTTCTATCAAAATTATGCCTTTTCGCTTTCGCAGTAGTTGAGTAAAATAATTCAATAAGTTCTTTCTTTCAGAAATTTATATTCGAAATGTCATTGGTCCACTTGTGGCGTGTTCCGAGACAGTCATCTTGACCCGCTACTCTTCACTCTTTTCATCAAAAACCTTTCCTCGATATTGCCTTACTCTTGAGTACTATTGTATGCCTATGATGTAAATAATGCCTGTACATAAAGCCTGTTGTTCAGAATGAGAAACCTAAATGGTTTCTTATACACTTGACAGCTTACCGCAGTTGAACGTACTAATAGTACCGATAAGGAAGTATTTTAATTCGACTCTCGTGTTACGGCCATCGCCAGTAAGTGTATTATTATTATGCGATTGCAACAGGCAAGAATGACCTTTTATTAAGTTTGTCTGATGTGTCTGGTCACTACAATATCGAATTGGATTATTATACAATTCTTGTTATTTGCCCTTCTTCGATAAACCAGGGATCCTACTAATTTAATTATTCACAGACTTACTCTTTGTGTAATATACTTGTCTGGCTCTACTAGATTAACGCCTGATTGTCCAACTTACTCCCTTGCAAACACCTTTCCGAGACCTCTTTTTAGATTACATCAAGCAACACAGGGTATTAAAATCGGAGTGTTATTTTGCTCGTATAAATTCTCCTATTCTAGCCAAATAAGCAAGTATATTAAGTTTCACGACAGCGTTGGACGAGAACTAGGATGCAACATGTTGCAATGCAGGACGTTGCATCAGAATTCGCGCGAACGTTTCACATGCCCAACAAATATTCTGCACTCGTTTGCTACGTATTTTAATTTTCAACACTCGAAGCTGCATTAGATGTTGCCATTTACTTTTTTGGTCTAGAGACGCATGAAAGTTCCACTCGCATCTGTATAAGTCATACTACCTGGCGTCGCTCTAATAAGTAGAAAAAGTGTTCTAAGTCAGAGCCAAAGACACAGCACACCCGCGTTGCTTGCGCTAGAACTAAGACCTCGTCGCTAGTTTTCTACTCTTATTGGAATTAAATGAAATGAATCAAAAATTTAATACAATTTAAATCTGCGTTAAGGAGTGGATGGAATCGCGAGTGCATAATTGCAATTAAATATTTTTGATTCTGTTTTCTGTAGAGGTCACCGAGAGTTTAATTACCAATAGGCTTCGCGGATTGGATCAAGTCTATTTGAAATATTCGAAAGTTAGCACTGTTTTAACGAAGTCTATATCAACTTTATATGAGACCCATTTATAATGCAGTTTTCCATGTACCGTATAGTGACTATAAAAATGTTGTAGAATTCAAGTCCGTGTTTGCCCCATTTTTTTATCATACGTCTTATGTTAAGTATAATTAATATACATACACTTACCATCATAAAGTAATTCGGCATTACAGACTTCCTCGCCATAAGGGTTGTATATTCGACAGGAATAGCGTCCTACATCAGCTTCCGTAACATTTTTGATAGTTAAACGTAAAAGACCATTTGATTCTTTTTCAGCTTCAATTTTTTCAGATGGAAATAGTTTTTGATCATTTTTAAACCATTCCACCTCCGGTTCCGGATAACCTGCTGCACAAGCAGTAAACTTCGCTGTCATACCTTCGTAGACATCACAATCTCCAATTTTTTTAAGAAATACGGGTGCTTCAGACCGCATGTGCTTTTTACTACAAAAGATTTGAAGTTTAGACCTTTGAGAAATATTCATCAATAATATGCAGCATAATATACTTACAGTTCATTAACAACTTCTAAGCGACCTTGGGTAATATCTTTACCTTCTTTATTAGACGCAATGCATTTATATTCACCTATATCAGCCGCTTGACAATTATTGACTATAAGTAGGTGATGATCTCCATCATTTTTAATAGCGTATTTTTCCGACATTTCTATTGGCTTATTTTCAAAGAACCAAGTAAGTTCTGGATATGGAACACCAGAAACAGTTACTGGAATTTTGGCGTTATTTCCAAAAACTTGTTGTTGATCTGATATTTTTTGGGTAAATATTGGTGGCTTGTAAACTTTTCTTACGTTTGCATTACATAAAGATGAATCCTCTCCTAAGGGGTTAGCTAACAGACAAGAGTAATTACCCGAGTCTGAGGCTTTAACAGGTTTTATATTAAGACCAACGTGTTTGCCATCGCAAGTCATTAACAAACGCTCGCTTGGGTTTAAAAGAACTCCATCCTTGGACCACATTACCTCTGGCATTGGATTCGCTATAAACGGTGCAGATAATATGAGCTCTTCTCCTTCATCTGCATTCACATCTCTTAGACCTGAAACGAATTGTGGGGCTTCTTCTGTAGATGTTTCGTCTGTTTTTGGAGAAATATACAGTTTTGCCTTAGAGGAGGTTGATCCTTCTGAATTTTTAGCAATAATTTCATACAATCCGGAATCTGATGGAACAGTTTTATCTAAGACTAAGCTGAAAGTACTGTCAGGATTTTCCATAATAGAAATATGTCCGTTTTCAGGCAATATTTCATGACCGTTATGAAACCATTGAAGATTTGGTTTTGGGCTTCCTATAACCTTTACATCCATTTTGACAGGAAATCCTTCAACACTTGCAGCATCTTGAAGCTCGGAAATGAATGTAGGCTTTGATTCTTTAGGAACTATTTCCACTTTTGCAGCGCCTTCTTCTTCGCCTTCCTTATTAATAATTATACATTTATATATTCCAGCATCGTTTGCATCGACGGAATCAATACTGTATTTTAATTGAATACGTAAATAAAAGAATGCATTTGAAAACAGTAATTTATTTGAAACAGCTTACCTTAAACCGATTTGTCCATTAGGATTATTAATAAAATTGATGTTTGAACTAGGGCGTAGAAGCATACCATCCTTATACCACTTTACTTCGGGGGCAGGAAAGCCGATAACTTGAGAAGTTAGTTTCAATGGTTCTCCAACAATTATAGACTGATTTTCAAGGGGCTTCAGGAATTTCGGATGCATATCTTTTGCTGTAAGCGGAAACTAAAGTTATTACAATAATAATTTTTGTAACGGAAGCACTAAGTAAGAGTGCAACCTTTCTTTTTGATTTATTCACTTTATATCGTTAAACTATTTTTATTATTTGTAAAGATTTGTTTAAGTTTAGTTCAACTCTATCTCACTGCATGGCTTTAAAATCTATTTTAACCCCGACATCTACATTTCTATGTGTCCTTGCGCCGATTCATGCCGATCAAAACATTTCTCAAGTATCATAGATTTTTCAATAAATGGAAAAACACCGAGATGCAATATCTTACTCATTTGCACATGCCTTACACTTATTCCAAGGCTCTCATTTGTATGGCTTTGTCAGTTCAGAGAACTTAGGAAAAATATGATTTATAAATTTTTAAAGGTCCTCTAACGGCTTGTCGAATTCTTTGAAAATATTATCTTAAAATTTAAAAAATTTAATCGTCGCATGTCATAAAATAATCGAATCTTTAGGCATTGACGTTTCTGGTTTATTGTGACATTTGAGCTAAGCTCTGTAAAAGATAATTGAATTTTGAAGAATTGAACAATTTATGGTGACATTTTTTCTGTTTTTTTTTTGTATTTATAAATATACTTATATATAGTACTGGCAGCTTGAGCTAGTTATATATGAGGGAAACAAAATAGAACAAGACTTGCTTCTAATTAGTCTAGATGTACAATGCTGTAAGGTGTAAGGTGTAAGGCTATTAAGCGAAAAGTGTTTAATTCTGTTTATTATACTTATCAATCTATTTTATTTTATAGAATCCTGTCAGGCAGCTCCTGTGGATGACACCGTTCAAGTCTTCTTTTTTTTGCCCTAGAGACAAACTCATGAAATGGGGCAGGGGAAACAAGTCATCTTGCTAGCGGGTCGGGGTTGGAGCGAAGCGCTCAAAGTTATTTTTGGCATGTTACGGATAACGTCTCATAATTTCGGAACCCCTAGGTCTCTCTTAATGTCTATAGTATGCAAATACCAAGGATTGTTTCAAAACCTTCTAAGAATCTAGCTAAGTTCGGCTTTTATTTTGTTAAGGTGGCTTTCTGTGAGCTTTCTGTGCAAAATGACTTCGAGGTATTGGTGACATTACAGCTATCCTCTGCAAAAGATAGCCAAACTTTAAGCATATTTAATGGAATCACACATTTTCGTTAATATCTTATATATTTCGTAACCGATCTTGATGTAATTTTTTACAGTAGATCTTGTGTTACTATAAAATATTCGTGTATTCTTAAAATTATAGTTCTATTAAATTAAGGCTTAAATTTGGGCGTAGTTCAAATTGTTTAATATTTTTGATGCAGACAGACGGACATGGCTAGATCGACTTGGCTATTGTTGCTGATCAAGAATATATGTATATATTTTACAGAGTCAAAGATGCTTCCCTGTGCCTGTGAAAAATATTTACACAAATACTTTATACTATTTTTATCCGTTTATCTATTTTTAACAGGTTCAGCGTATACAAATATTTAACTAATATACGTCTATAACAATCAAATAGTATATGGAACTACTGGCAGGACTATTGCAGCAAGGGAGCATAGTGAAATCTTTAAATGCCGTGTTTAATCAAAATATCTTGAATGACAAAAAATTTTTCCATACAACAACTTTATTTTCGACCGATCGTTCCTGTGGCATCTGTCTGATATTAATATGATTATGCCTATATATGAGGAGTATAGTAAAACTAATAAATGCCGAGTTTGGTCAAGATATCTTGATATCTTGGCGGGCTTGGACCGTGGAAAGTGTACTTTTCCACTAAGTACAAGCCCGCGGAAAGTTGAAATCAAGACTACCTATCTTGACGCCAACTTCTATTTAAAAATATGTTTAAAGTGCATCGAATATAGAACCAAGTCTTGGAACCAAGGGTTTTCCTCACGTTAATCTTGCAGTGAGAATCTTACTTTTGTTTATTAAACCTATTACCCGCATTTGTCACCCAAGAAGGTATCAAATAGATTCTCACAAAGATCTTTGAAAATGATTCTAAAACCGATGATAAGCAATGCGAAACGTCACCCACTTTCTTTGACCCACCAAGGAGAAATGCACTCTTCGAAAAGCTTGAAACACCCCTCAAATGAATTTAATTAAAGATATTTGAAAATAAGTTTTTTCGCGATTTATCCACATATGCGGGTGGAATTTTCCTAAATCAATCAAAAGGTCAGTCATTCAGTCATTCAATTAGTCAGTCAGTCAGAACAAACAGTCGTATGCATAGAGATATTGTTGCGGGTCGAATTAAGTTATCGATTGTTTAGTATTGAGTGTATTCTAAAGGTATATATATTTGCCTTATGTTGCCACCATTTCTTTAACCTTAAGACCTTTATTGTCGTGAGTTATAAGGCAGTAGGAGGAAAGTCTGCGAATAAAGCACTGGCACTTGAACTTGCACTTGCATTAGCAACACCTTGTACTCGCATGTTTTACACTACGCTGCCTCTATTAGCATCGGAGTAAGATGGCCAGGGGCCAGGCATAAACTACGCAGTGTTCAAATTGTAATTATATAAGATGACACGACGGTCACCCAGGAAAGCCCACGCTTGAATGATGGGTAGGAGATAACTACCACGGCAAGTGAGGTAGCAGCCGAAGCAGAAAAGCAGAATGGTTAGGACTATATCACAACTTCGCAAGTCATGGACTTGACTTTGAGTGAGGCATTGCCGACGTCACTACAGTGGAGAGTTGTATTATATTCTTCTGTACATTTACGGAAACAACTTTTGCATGAAACTGTATGAATGTGGAGAATGACCAGCGTTTGTTGAAGGCATTCAAAGGCGAAGCTCGTGATACTATGAAGATGTTTCCCATACATCCAAGGAATGTAAAGAATGTAATGGAACAATTACGTTTTAGATACGGCCGCACAGAACAAATAATATACAGCCAGCTACTTAGTATTCGAGAGGTGTAGGCAATACAAGAGCACATCATTGCGTAAATCGTGCGTTTGCCACTTGCATTAGTACCTTGCTACCTTTTCACAATAAGCTAAAGGAAAATAGAATTGCAATTCTTACACCAAAGAGGGAAAGAATGGGCCGGGCATGGTTAACGGACTACCAATGAGATATGAACGATTGTGTGAACGACGATGTAAAGGAGCAGAAGCGTAGAGTGTTGCATGCCAGCATTGACAAGAGTCATGAAGGGCGTCGGCAGAGACACATTAAACAGCGCTTCATAGGCAACACGTAGTTAGGGACTGCAACGATTTTAACATAGCTTCTCCGCAAAATAGATGTAGGTTTGTAAAAAGGCACCGGCTTTGGTTCTCGTGCCTGCGAGATGGTCACATGATAAGGATCTGCAAAGGGCCAACGAATGGCAAGTTAATGGATGCCGGAAGAGGCACCATCGCCTTTTATATAATACTGCGAACAGTCACAATGTACCGTCGCCAGCAGATGATGGAGGTATGTATAATGGACGGATGTCGCAGGCAGCGGATACGCACATTAAGGAACCGCAGCCAGTGGAACATAATTTGTGTCTATTCGGAAGGGGAACGCAGTAAACAATTGTTCAGTGGAAGAGCAGCCAGTGAGCCGACCACAGTGGTAAGCATGGAATTAGTGGAGCGGACAAACGCAAGCGTCGTGTATTTCGAAATATGCATGCAGGGTCGAACCTAAGTTTAACAATTGGGCGTTTAAAAGGTCAATTGACAGAAGCGTCATCAAAGTCATCCCTCCTAGCAGTAGCACAGGTGGATGCAAGCAAGCAGTAGCAAGCAGATGGCAAATGAATATTTGATGCTCGAAGACTCCACAGTGAAAATCCAAAACCAACGCTTCCAGGCAGGCTTATTAACGAACCCCGATAATGTGGAGATGGGCACCTGCTGCTGAAAATGAAGTACACGACCCAGCAAGACACATTGCTACGTATACCTCAGCCAACAGCAATGATGGTTAGACGGTCCGACAATATTGTGTCAGCCGGAAAGCGGCTAGCCGCAGCCCGAAGCGATCCTTGCCCTGGATACAGCAAATAACTTTTTTATTTAATTTCAAAGATTCTCTAGCTACGACGCCTAGGGTTCTAAGGTTCACGCGTTTGTGCTATGGAAAAAGGACTGAGCTTGAGAGATTCCGCCTCACCACTATGTAATGTGCGAACGCTGAGTGCTTGCTGATACAACGGGCGCAATGCGAATCGCTCCCCGGCGAGATTTCAGCCTCATACATTGGGGAGTCTGTCCTAATCGAAGTGATACACCGGAACACACTGAATAAACTGGTTGTGCTCACTACTATGTAAAACTGAAGCATCAAAATGTGGATGCAACGATAGGCGGCATCAAATTTTGAACGAAGCTACGTCGAATGTAGGGTACAGGAAAAGAACTGGAAAAGGAAAAGAACGAACGTCTAAAGGAAATGAGATGGGTTGCCTTGTTTATGTGCCTGTTAACAAGGGCAACAAAGCACAACGTAATAAAGAGTTTTCTGACTAAAGCCGAGAATGTTGTGAGTTCTCGCCCACTTTCCAACTTGTCAGTGTCTGTGGACCAGGATGCCCCTTTAACATCGAACGATCTACTCAAGGGAGTAGCCAACACACCCACTGTCCACGAGCAGACGGACGAGAGATGCGCCACCATCAAAATGAAGGTAACACAAGCGCTGTCCGGTAAAAGCGGTGACCATAAGTCAAGCACAGTGATGAGTGCGCAAAAACTATATTGGATTACTGAATGAAGTAGATGCAAGGAAGAATCATCGTGTAAAGAAGCAAGAAAGTTGGGTGCGGAACAGAGAATACTTTAAAGATTTTAGGTGGCGATCTGAATGCGCTGGCAAATAGTCATACATCATGCTACAATTTACCGAAGCAAACGCATATTTGTATTGATTTTTATAACCTAGCAGAGGTTGGTATAATTCTGCAATATGTATCGCGTAGAAGGAGACATCTCCGACCCTAAATAGTATATATATTCTTGATCAGTATCAACAGCCGAGTCGATATAGCCATGCTCGTCTGTCCGTCCATCTGTTTCCATGCGAGCTAGTTTCTTAGTTTTTAAGCTATTTTTGAAAGTTTCTAGTGCCTCTGAAGTGCCTCGTTCTGTTGCGCGAAGTTAATAGGTGGGAACCAACTGGATCGGACCACTACATCAAATAGCTGCCATAGGTACAATTTTTTTGTTTAATCGAGAAATCTTGACCGACCACGAAATTTATTAGTTTTACTATGCTCCTCATATATATGGAAAAACCTATCAACATCGGTCAGGTATATCATATTGCTGACATAGAAACGGTCTGTCGAAAATTAAGTTGTTGTATGAAACACAATTATGTTTTCAAGATATCTTGACTATGCTCGGCATTAACTATTTTCCCTGTGCTTCTTAGATACGGGCACAGCACTATGAGCGTTAAGAAAAGGTTGGGTCCGCAAGGGTATTAAATCTTCCGCTTGCTTTCTCGTTTTTAGATAAGATTGCATTAAGAATAATAAATCTAATAAATAAATCATCATATAGAGTCTATACTGTTAGCCAACGGAGATGGGCCTGTCGCTAATAAACTTTGTTTGGCTGCGCGTTGTGAGTGACGCCCTACTTATAATTTTATTTTGGCTTTACTACCTTTTACAATGCAATGAAGCATAATAAAAAACTTGAACGATACGTTCTGACGTGTCGTCCCAGGGGCAAATCGAATTTTAATAATTAGTTATTAAAATATTGAAAATAAATATTTACGTTTAACAGCAACAGCGCACAATGCTACTTTTTGTCCATGTGGATTAGAAATAACTAATTTGTAGGCACCAGAGTCGTTTGGTTGACACTTTTCAATTTCCAATTTTACCATTCCTTCGGGTGTTGAGGATAATTTTATTCTGTGAAGTAAGCAAAAAGAAATGGGAAATAAATACGTTAATATTTACAGTAATAACAGTCATTTGATAAAGTATAAAAGAGTATTTATGTTTTTGGCAATATTAATCATTATTATTTGTCTCTCAGAATTTAATTAGTTGTCCCCAAGTTAGCAGATAGCTTTTTTCTGCGATTTTAAGCTCATCGGTCTTAGTATTTTTTCATGCAATGTCGCTACATAACCAAAACATCCGAGTATCTACCCGCTTTAAAAAACTACATATATATACATATACATACAGTGGCTCACAGCTTATTTTATGCAGTACATACTCCCGAATTCAAAGGTCTGTAGCAACAAAACTACCAGGAACTTAAATAAAATGTTGCTTTATTTATTAATAATATATAGTTACTACATACCTTAAAAAATAAAAAAATCTGCGAATTCAATTTCTTTCGACAGAAGTCTTTTTTCTATACCCTGTATATCAAGTATATATATTCTTGATCACCATCAATAGCCAGTCGATCTAGCCATGTCCGTCCGACCGTCTGTCCGTCCGTACGTATGTATGAACGCAAGGATCTCAGAACCTATAAGACATCCTGTGGCAAATGCGCTGGCTTTCATATGACTTGTTCTCTGCTTTGCACGAGTGAAAATTCTTGTGTCAACTGCGGTGGTGAACACGCGTCGACCGCCAAAGACTGCCCTGTCAGGATTGAGAAAAGCAAAAAACTGAAACCGATCTTAAGGCTCTCTGCTACTGGCAACACTGCCAGGCCAAAATATAACCAAGGCCCATCACGTGGCTTCATCCCGGCTGAGACTGTCAGATGCAGTATGTCGACGTTGCTCGGCCCAACAGGGCGAAATCTGGTCCAAATGCTGACAAGCATCTTCAGCGATAATCAAACTCACTGCCTGACAAGATATTGGATGCGGTAGAGAGCTCTATACGGGATCTCAACTCCAGAATGGACCAATTATTCAAGTTGGTTCAAGAGACTATGCAGGCTAACAAGGCCTTCGGAGAATTGGTCCATGTCCTCATTTCAAGTATCCAAAAATGATACAACCGATCATTGAAATCGGATTGTGGAACGCACAGGGACTAGATAGGGGCTCTGGAGAGCTCCGGCTGTTTCTCAGTGCAAATAATATAGATGTAATGTTTGCCACAGAGACACACATGAAATAGGGACAGCATTTCTTCCCCCTAGGCTACTTCACCTACCATGCCTTCCACCCCAGCGGCAACAGCACAGGTGGCGCCACAGTCATTGTGCGCTCCAGCATGTGCTACATTCCTCAGCCTCCCATCTCAACAAACAACATACAGCTAGCAAGAGTGAATCTGCAGACATCGGAAGGGCCCGTCGCACTAGCATCTTTAAATCTTCCTCCCAAAGAGCCTAGTACTAAAGTGGAATTTGAATCCCCTGTTTACCATGCTAGGTAACAAATTCATTGCAGGTGGTGACTACAACGCCAAGCACTCATGGTGGGGCAACTCAACAAATTGATCCAGAGGCAAAATATTGCAGGATGTCGTGGCGAATGATCGGTACCAAATTCTTACAACGTGTAAGCCTACATTCTACTCATCTAACTAGTAACTAGTATCAACATCAGCGCTGGAATTTTTTTGTCATTAATGGATACGCAATGAGCAGGCTTAATGTGAGCTGATTTACATGCCACTCCGATAAGCAAGTCACAGCGCTCTTGTTTACTAGCACGCGGTGCTGATACAGGACTCATCTGGAGCAGCTGATTGATATAATTGTGGAAATTCAAGACGCAGATGATATTGATAACGCAATCGATATTTTTATGAGCAAGCTGAAAGATGCTGCAACAAGAGCTGCTCCTAGGAATCAGCAACAACTGCATGGAGATAGATCACCTCAGCTTCCTTCTATAATCGTTGAGGTCCTGCGTCTCAATCGTAAAGTGAGAAAGGAGTATGCAAGAACAGGAGATGCCCGAATCCAACAGATTCACAACAGGCTGGCTAATCGTCTTCATAAAATTCTGGCCCGCAGGAAAAGAATTCAAATTGACAACATGTTGGAAAACTTGGGTACCGATGTCTACTAATTACTCTGTGTGGAAAATTACTTATAGATATAAGACATTAGCAATCCGAAATCTTTAGGAAACTGGTGCCGCACTAGTCTTGATAAATCGGAAGTATTTGCAAACAATCTTGAGCAACGATTCAGGCCGCATGACTTTACACCTGAGAGTCACTGCAGGATAGTTGCGGAGGCATTGGAAACACCTTTTAAAATGGCTTTGCCTTCAGATACTCTAACACTGGACGAAGTGAAGCAGCTCGTGTCAACGCTTAAACCCAATAAGGCCCTGGCGAAGACTTTCTCGATAACAGAACCATAAGACTCCCATTAGATCAAGCACTGTTGTTTTTGGTGCTTATTTTCAACAGCGTCCTACGTGTGGGATACTTTCTGAGAGCCTGGAAGTCGGCAAACATTATTATGATCCTCAAGCCTGGGAAACAACCTACTGATGTGGACTCTTATAGGCCGAACAGCCTTCTTCCTTCACTGAGCAAAATAACGAAGAGTTTGATTCTAAACAGAATGGTGGATCTCGAGACTGTTGCCCTTCCGATCCCTAAATTTCAACTTGGATTTCGTAAACATGGCAGCATGGCGCTCCAGAGCAGCTGCATAGAGTTGTCAACTTTGCATTATACAGGTGTACGGTATTACTGCCAAGTCGCACCTGAATAAGATCCGTGTGCTACAAGCTAAGACTTTGAGGATGATCTCTCGGTCTCCATGGTACATAAGGACATGTAAAATTGAGCGCGACCTTAAGGTGCCTAAAATAAGAGACAGAATCTAAGTGATTGCCCAAAAATACACGGAGAGGCTAGGAGCTCATCCAAACTGTTTAGCTAGACGCCTAAATACTGCCTGTTACCGTAGAAGACTAAGGAGGAGACTCAAACGCCATCACCCTCAAGACCTCCTGAACCGGGTCTTGACATAAACATCTCATTATAAAATTTATACGATTTCCCCAGTATCACCCCTTAAACCACCCCCTTATAAGTAATCTTTTGTTCATTGTTTTGTTCTATCATAAATTATTTTGTTATTTTTAGTTTAATATCTGATTAGTGTAAGTTGCCTTGTAAGGTAGCAGCACACTTATCTTTTGTTAAATAAATTTAATTTTTTTCAACTTAAAAAAAAAAAAAAAATTGGCTTATGTCGTAAAGTATGCACTGCCGAAGGCTCGTTGCGACCCAGCGACAAGAGTAGCAACATACCTTTGTAGAGTAATATAGGCTGAATAGACTCTATACTTCTAGGTATTTGACCAGTTTAGAAAAAAACAAGTAAGAGTTGGGGCTCCCGACTAGGGGATACCCTGAACCCTCTTCCTTCAACATCAAATGCATATATATATTTTATTTTAGAAGCTATATGTCAAGTTTGGTGACTCTAGCTCTTATTATTTACCAAAATTGCCAAAAAACAGGATATCGATATCGATTGCATGGAAACGGAGTAAGTTATCGATTATCGGAAATAAACTCGATCTGCGCGGAAACTTGGAGCACCTACATCTAAAATTTCAAGTCTCTAGCTCTTATAGGTTCTGAGATCCTTGCGTTCACACATACGGACGGATGGACGGGCGGACGGACAGACAGACGGACATGGCTAGATCGACTCGGCTATTGATGCTGATATATTTACTTTATGGGGTCGGATATGCTTCCTTCTGCCTGTTACATACATTTAGATTTCGCACAAATACAATATACCCTTATATCCATTTTTAATTGGTTCAGGGTAAAACAAGTATAGATTGATATAAATACTTTTTCCGCACTTGCACATTACTATTAAATCTCGATGACCCATCTAATCAAGCTTAATATATCAAAAATGATCGGAAACAAATAAAAGCCCTTTTTCTATTTTGGTATAACCTAATCATATTTCTACTAAATGCAAAACAACTGAACTACTTGCCACTGCCTCACACTCCACAGCCATATCAAGAATTAAATTTCAACCAGAAAAAACTGAATTATAATAGCAGCACAAACCCAGAGAATAGCATACGATACGATTGAAACATTTGTATGCACATGTGTGCAAAAATTTTTAAGTTCCATTTTTAAAATAGATAAATTGAATCTTTAAGAGCGAGGAAATATATTTTTTGCCTCGAATGTAAATACCTTGGGCTAGCCTTGATTTCATCACCATCCTTAAGCCATTGAACTGTTGGTAAAGGACTGCCATCCAGCGAACATTCCAGAACAAGAGGCTCATCCTGTAGAACGTCTAATGCACTGTTAAGTTTTTTCGTAAAGTTTGGTGGAAGGGCTTGCAAGCCCAATTCAAATGATATTTTGGTTTCTCCCACTTCATTTTTAGCAACACATGTGTACTGTAATAAAAGATGCACGTTTGGTAATGTCTTTATTAGGAAATTAGTCATACCGTTCCAGCAATATTTTCCCTAAATTTCGATATTCCAAATATACCCTCAACTTGATCGGATGTTGTGTTTGTAGATTTAGCGCTGTAGACCTTTTCCTGGGAAAGCTTTTCAACAGTTTCAAAGTCAATAGGCTTGTCATCTTTAAACCATTCAATAAACGGTGTAGGAACTCCATGCACTACTACTCTCGATGTAACAGGCTGTAAGTCATGTATTATTTGGTTTTCTGGTGGAACTATAAAAGATGGCTTTTCAACTGAAATGATTTAAAAATGAATAACATCTTATATTTTAGAGTTTATATTTATTTAAAAATTACCAAGCACTTGCAAATAAAATTCGCTGTCAGCTCTTCCTTCTGAATTTACTGCTGCAATTGCATATTTGCCGTCTTCTTTTGGTGAAACTGACGGGAAAACAATTCGGTACTTATCTGCATCAACATCGGCGATGACCTCACAGTTCTCTTTGTTGCAAAGGTTTTCATTTCCCCGAGTCCACGAAACTTTTGGTTTCGGGTTGGCAAGCACTAATGCTTCAAAACAGACAGACTGACCTGGCAAGCATTTATGATTTTTCAAACCAGAAATTTCAGGTTTCGCCAATACGTCTATATAGCCATTTGTTGTCAGTTCTCCATATTTGTTTTTGACTTTCAGCTCATAACGGCCTGAATCTTTGATGTCAGCTATTTTAATAAAAAAAAACATATTGTAAAATGTTAATCACAATGACTTATTAAATTTGATTTATATCATAGGTAATAATAGAATATTTTAATGTAAATTTATAAGGATCTAGAAGGGAGTGGTAGACGAGGAGAAAAAAAATTCGATGTTCCTATTATAAAGAACAAACATATAGAAATACAAGGAATGCTTGTCAAGCATTCTCCCTTTTTCTACATAATTTTGGAAACGCGGTTTTTTGGTAGACCCTTTTGTGCTTGCGGTAGTAAAATTGACACACACAATTTTTTAAAAAACATGTAAATTACCTAAATGAAATGTTTAAAAAATTGAAGTCGTACTTGTGTATTCTGAAAAAAATAATATTGAAATATGGGCGGGCCATGCAAGTTATCACCCAGCCCGCAAGGCAATTCTTATTGCAATCATAAACAACATTTCAGTATAAGTCGCTATCCCAATTACTTAGCCCTTTCAGACTTATTAGAACCGTTACAATCACTACGTCCACTTAACGCACAGGCGCAGCTCTGCTAACATACATATACAGATCTGCTAACATTAATATACAGATCTGCTAACATAAATATACAGATTCCCAGCTCTAACAAAAACATAACAGCACAACCACTTAACATAGATTCATATTCTCATGCGCAATTCATAACGTTAACTAAAGACCCAGGCTCTAGAACGCAATTGCTAACGTAAACATGACTCAAAGCGTCTAGTTTACGCAAGCCACCCCCGCGAACTTTTAAACTTTAAGAAAAGAAGCTTAATCATAACCATAGCTGACTTGCAGCATAAGTTCTCAATTGTACTTTAGTTCTAATCTTGGATTCAAATAAATCGGAAGCCTTCAGCCTCCCACTTAAAAATATATTTTTTTCCAATTAGTAGCCACCAATCGGTTAATTTGCATGTGCAATTACACAATTTTCTATACGGAAGCATTTACGCATTTGTGTGCCTGCTGGATGCCTGCCTGGCGGATGCAAATTTCAAATATATACACACACACGCACACACATAAAAGTGTGTGAATGCCCGCTGGCAGTGGCCATGTATCCCACGGAGCTAACACGGATGGCGATTGAGACTGAGACCAGTAAGTCTTAGATTGTGAGCACTGGGCACGGGTGACAGTATTCTAGCATCTCAGTAAGCTGAGAGAAGTCTGGCCGAAATGACTGGTAGGCTAATTTTATTAACGACACCTTCCCGTTAAAACGCCACCTTCCAAAGCAAGCTTCTCGACTCGTCGCCATTTAGTAGGCAGTATATGCTCCGATGTAATATTTCTGCTTTAGCTCTGAAAACTCGACCCCATGAAAGCGGGTGTCAACCCTCAAACCCCACAAACGAAGGAGAATGATGCTCTGCAAAGAGCAAAATGTTGAGATGCCCAGTAGGTGTACCAATAGTCGTCTCCGCAGAGACGACCTCTAAGGGATACCTCAGAGTAGCTCAGCACTCCGAAAATTCAGGCACGGTATCTCACAGCTCATCCGCGAACAAAAAGAAAACAACCGCAAAAAGAGCAAAGGGCTTGCCTAAGGTTAATACGCGGTCTGCAAAAGACAAAGCGAGCTACTCGGGGATACTGAGAAGAGTTAAAAAGGACGAGAAGTTCAGTAACTTCGGAAAAGCGGTAGGAAAATAAGGAGGACCCAAAAACGATAGCTGCTCCTACAGTTGAACAATTCAGGAGAACCAACAACATTAGTTCAGGAGCCTGGTGGGCGAAACGCTTGAGCAAATGCAAAAGTGCGAACGATGTCCCATCGAGTAACAATTGATGGCAAAGACATGGACGAGATTACGGCTAGAGTGGACATTTTTGGACGCTGAGAGGTCAGATGCAACTACTGGACGTTTCCCCAGAAAATATAAGCTCGCAAAAGGCGTACAGTCAAACTAAAACGGTCACGATACGGTTACCAGCGGAAATTTCGAAAAAAAATTATCAGTAGGTACACTGAACGTTACACTAAAGCTGTACCCGCGAAGGATAAGATCACCTGGCTAGGTACTGTCAACAGGAGTCACAGTAGATGTTCTGCAAGGAAAGACTTCAAACATATTGTTGGCAGCGGATGATACTCAGTGCTTAGAAGCGGTCTCACTAAAAAAAAAATTATTTTAAAATCGGCTAAAACTCAACCATTGCGAAGCAGCTGAGGCCCTTTTGACTCAGTTAATCAGCGAGGAGCAGACCGATGTCACAATTACTTGGGAGCCATACAAGTCTATCGCTGGTTGTGGCTGTGCGCCAAGAAAATGCGGCAAAGCGACCATGTAGTCGCTTAAATTACTGCCCCAGTAAGCAAGGTCAGCCCACGACGGATTGAGAGCAAAAATTAACGAACTCCTATCTACAGTTAATCTGCTGTAACAGAGCTCCCCTTGTCATAGCAGAGGACTTAAACGCTTGGGCTGTGGAATGGGGGAAGCGAGAAAACTAACGTGAGAAGGAAAACTTTGCTGGAAGAGTTCGCGGCGATCGGCAATATATTGCAAGGCAAGCGCCATGCTCAGTGGACATGGACCGCGGACGCGCGCGACTTTTCCATGCCTAGGAGAACACCAAGCACAAGAGGAGCATCCTGCTAATGGTGGAACGCGGAGATCAGATATCTAAGGAAGACTTGCTTATGTGCAAGAAGGCGCTCTCAACAAGCCTGGGGCCGCCCAGATTTTGGTTGAAAGACCTGTGGGCAGCCAAACGAGCCCTCAAGCAAAGTATAAAATAGAACATCTGCTTTCATGTTAACCCGTGGGGTACGGTTTCAAGGTCGTAACAAAAAAGTCAAGACACAACTCGCGTCACCTGCCACTATTGTCGAGGCACTGTTCCCCAGATACCCACAACTAGAGACGGTCAACTGATCAAGGGCGATCAGGTGATTAAATGGAATTGTGTCAGAGTAGCGAAATCATAGGATTCACAGATGATCTGGCTCTTGTGGTGGTGGGAAAGAAATCAAAGAAATAAAAGCAGCAACTAATGCTGGATGCGCGGTTCTTGCCTGGAGCTGGCAAGCCATACAACTGAGGCTGTGCTTATCATCAACCAACATGAAGACAACGTTGGTATCCAGTTAAAGGCCTCCATCAAGTATCTACGGGTATACCAGACAATAGGTTTAGCTTTCGACCCCACATAGATTACGTTAGCCAGAAAGCAGCCTAAATGCAGGCCCTTTCGAGGATGCTACCTAACATAGGAGGGCCTAGAGAGTTGTGGCCTCTGTTCTACTGTATGCAGCACCGATATGGGCATCAGCGGTAAAAAGCCAGAAAGGCCTCCGAAGAAAGCTGGCGATTGCTTACAGACTCAGCGCACTATGCGTTATCTCTGGATTCCGGACAGTGTCGGGCGAGGCAGCCACTTTACTGAAGGTAATACCGCCAGTCGATATACTTACGAAGAAAATAGAGAAAATATACTCAGAATGGCGATGGATGCTGCTTCGCTGGACGTCATTCGAAGATCGGGGAGAGCAGCATCAAAGGTAGGAATAATAAACGCGGCAAACAAAAGGAAATGGACACACAAACTTATTCCCAACCTGATGCAATGGACTAGCAGACGAAAATAAGAACCTAACTCACGGAGGGTACAGGAAGTATCTTCATTGATTTAGACACGAACTGCCTAAATCTGGACGAAAATCCGGAACACATGCTGTACCAATGTCCGCGGGGATGGGTTGGCTACTTTAAGCTTTCTCTATTCCTCGCCGCACCTTTTCGCATCTTCTCAGATCCCTCTGGATGCCTATAATGAGCTGTCATAGCTCACAGCTCTCTCCAGTTGTTTTCTCCTTCCAACATTAACGACATCCGTCCATCAGGTGAGTGCACAAATTCTACTACCTAGTGCATATTAACACTTCACAATATCATAATAAAAGAATGAGATGGTAATAAATACTAGATTTTTCAAATCGGTATCATTCTTCATATAAGAAATAAAGAGAGCATTCGAAAATGAAAAAGTTACTAAGTATTTATAATTTTTAGATCTTAAAGTTTCCAAGACACTATTGCTTGCCTTATCTTAATGATTAATCATTTTGAATGGGAAAGGGCAATAAATGTAACCAAAATTTTCTCTATTACCTACAGCTAGGATTTATAATTATAATTTATTTGTTTAATTTTATTATCCACTAACGTTGTTACAAAATTTGAAGAAATCTGGAAACACATATTTCCCGACATGCAATTGCCAAAGCAAACGTTTCTACGAAACAATGACTTTGCTATGAGTAGCTTTAACCATCTTTGATTTCACATAATTCTAGGCATTTTACAACTTTGTTAATTTGTCAAATATAACCGCTGTGCAGTTTTTGATATAGCACCATTTGTTACTAGGAGCGTACTTATAGGGTTCTAATGGTGTTTAGGTGTTTTACGTTATTGAGTTGTAGAACTTTGTAAGCTTTTCTTAAAACTATACCAAAGACAATAACGTTAATCACTCCTTGATTCTTCACAAATTAAGCCTCTCGAGTTACCAGCCAATCTTCATAGCCAGATTTCAAAAGTTTTGAATTACTGCACCTAAAAAGTTTTATTTAGAAATCAAAATAGTATCCATGTGAATTCTAGGGTTCCGATTTGCATATTAGAATATTGCTTCCTGTAAACTATTCAAAGCCGACATTAATATTTTAGTTCTGTTGGTAATATCCTTTTGTGTCTTAGTATATTTTTATAGAAATTCTCCCAGCATAATTATTTATACAATTGATAGATAACCGCTCGGACAGATCAACAATAGCAGTTATAAACTTAATGATCTAAATGGCATTTTTATTCATAACGCTTGGTCTGTTTTTCCTTTCATTAAGCGATGATTACAACAATCTTTCGAACGTTCTATTCTTAATTTTTTGTATATTACGTGTCTGGCACCCCAATCCACTATTCATTAAGTTAATATCCTTAATTATTTACTTTCTTTCCTTTCTCTGGGTTGAAAAGCCACATAAACACCTCTGTTCATATTAGACTATTAAGTATGTACTTATACACCCAACTAACTATGCCTATACACCAATATTTAATTCTAAGATATTTAAAAAGTCGAAAAGCTTTGTATAAATTTGTTACAGCCCCGATTTAATGTCGGAAGGTGGGATGCAGTATGCTTGATTGTCTTCTACTAGCTAAGACTGAACAGGAGTCTCTCACAACTGTAAAGGATTTTCTTAGTTTGTCCTCCTTCCTACTTAAAAATCATGCCATTTTTTCTCCTAAAAATTTTCCCATCGAAAGTCAAATAAATATTATGAAAAAGTAAGAGTTCCTGACTAGGGATACCCTGAACCCTCTTCTACCAATACCAAATGCAGCTCGCGCAACGCGCTCGTTTTCTTTAGTAGTAAAAAATAGAAAATAAAACAAGTAAGAGGTTCTAGTCGGGAGCTCCCGACTAGGGGATACCCTGAACCCTCTTCTTCCAACATCAAATGCATATATATATTCTATTTTAGAAGCTATATGTTTAGCTCTTATTATTCACCAAAATTTCCCAAAAACAGGATATCGATATCGATTTTTATCGATTGCTTGGAAACGGAGTTATCGATTATCGGAAGCAAACTCGATCTGCGCAGGCACTAGGAGCAGCTACATCTAAATTTTCAAGTCTCTAGCTCTTATAGGTTCTGAGATCCTTGTGTTCATACATACGGACAGACAGACGGACATGGCTAGATCGACTCGACTATTGATGCTGATCAAGAGTATGTATACTTTATGGGGTCGGAGATACTTGCATCTGCCTGTTACATACATTTTGATTTTGCACAAATACAACATACCCTTCCTTATACCCATTTTTAATGGGTTCAGGGTATAAAAAAAGTTCCCTCTGTATGGCTAAAACACGCAACAGACCACACTACTTGTCGCCGACTTAACAGCAACACCAAAATTTGAGTCCTTATCAACAAAAAACCGGATTTAAATAGCATCACAGAAAACAAAAATAGTTGCAATGCTGTTGAAAGAATTTAATGAACATGTGCATGAATGTGTTTGTGTGTATGCTAGTAAACAAAAATTCTGACAATTTGCGCTTGTTAACCCAAACTCATGGGCACCCAAAATAAATACACCCAAAATCTCTGCGCTGAAATTGGTGGACAATACAAGTTCGTTTATTATCTTTATTAATAGGCATTAGTGGTAGCGGTGAGGTAGCGACAGCTATAAAATGTATCCTTCATTTTATATATACTATTCTAGAAGCAACATGTCAAGTTTAGCTACTCAGCCTCTACCAACCTTAGGGATTTGCTCAAAAGCAGAGTTTCGATATCGGTTTGAATTTATTACCTCATAGATACGGACGGCCGGGTAGACGAACATGGCCTGATCGACTCAGCTGTTGATGCTGATCAAGAATATTTATACTTTATGGGGACAAAGATGCTTTCTTCTGCCTGTTACATACAATAGCACGAAATATTTTATTTTAAATGGGTTCAGAGTATAAAAACAATAAAAACGAACATCTTCAGCACGGGCTTTTTAAGTTATGGGAAAGGAATCGTGAAGCTCCTTACATTCGGGGTGGGAAAAGATATCATTAAATAAGATTTGGCCACACAAAAACTCATTTATGACCGATTTTTCCTTCAGAGCTAGAACGATAATCGAGGCTCGTTTTCGTCTTCCGTAGCTAGTGTAAGAAACTATTAGGTAACTCTAAAACGTTTAGAAAGTTCTAGTTAAATCTGTGGATCTTGAAGACCATTTCGGTCGTATTTCGTTGTTGAGCAAGCCAAGAAGACTCATGCTAGACTTAAATTTGTGACGAGGCGAGTGGCTTAAGTCCAAGGAGGAAGGAGAACGTTGAATATCGCCTTGTTCAATATCGCCTATCAATGGGTTTTTATCGCATGTCAGGCTGCTGAGAGTGTTTGGTCCTCTGTTCCACTTTTTTCAAATATGAAACGGAAAAAGGCTTTTGAGAAAACAATTCATCTGACTAGTTGAGTTTAAAGATGCCTGTTTTCTCATCTGTTCCGCTTTTTATACCCTAAACGCATTAAAAATGGGTATAAGGGTATATTATATTTGTGCAAGATCCAAATGTATGTAACAGGCAGATGGAAGCATCTCCAACTCCATAAAGTATGTATATTCTTGAGCAACATCAATAGCCGAGTCGATCTAGCCATGTCCGTCTGCCTGTCCGTCCGTCCGTCCGTATGTATAAACGCCACAATCTCAGAACCTATTGGAGCCAGAGACTTGAAATTTTAAAAGTAGGTGCTCCTAGTGCCTGTGCAGATCGAGTTTGTTTCCGATAATCGATAACTTACTCCGTTTCCAAGCAATCGATAAAAATCGATCTCGATATCCTGCTTTTTGGGCAATTTTGGTAAATTATAAGAGCTAGAGTCACCAAACTTGACATATAGCTTCTAAAATAGAATATATATATGCATTTGATGTTGATAGAAAAGGGTTCAGGGTAACCCTTAGTCGGGAGCTCCCGACTAGAACCTCTTACTTGTTTCAAATATGAAATGGAAAAAAGCTTTTGAGAAAACAATTCATATAACTAGTTGAGTTTAAAGATGCCTGTTTGCTTATCTGTTCCGCTTTTTTCAAACATGAAATGGAAAAAAGCTTTTGAGAAAACAATTCATCCAACTCGTTGAGTTTAAAGATGCCTTAGAAAAGTGTTCCAAAGGGCACACCCGTGGGTAATATCCTGCAGCGTCTTTACCAATTTATTTAGAGTATAATGGATATTTATGAAGTAGGGGGATGACTTCCACATGCTCCTCTTTCGTGCGATGCCTCTGCTTCTGACTACAAGCTCGAAATTTTGTAGAAACTTTATTTGATACATGCGTTTGACAACTTGTCATGCTGGCCCAAGGGCACTCGTGAGTCTTCTTTGTAACCAAGTTTGGCAAATTAACCCTCAAGAGGTCGCTCGTGTGCTCATTTTCTATCTGTGGCGTCGCTTTTCTTGGCGTAATTGACAAGATACATTTTTAACAGCTAATTAGTAAATCAGGTAATCTAAATAAGTACCACGAGCCCCATAAAAATGTTTTAATTTCAAGATACAATATATATATATATATATATATATATACATATATAAAGACTGATTGATAAACGAACGATGGGCCCCCGAAAATGAAAGATACTTCATTTATATAAACAATACTTGAAGCTAGTTGTCAAATGTGGTAACTCTAGCTCTTGAAACCCAATAGATTTACTCAAGAAACAAAAAGCTATTGCAAGCGGCCTAGTAACTAGTTTTGGTTATTTGGTGCTCATTAACGCCAAACTTATTCTTTTAAAATATTGCGTTCCAATGCAGCATCCATCACCGTGATCTTTTCGTCAATGGGAGGAGTGAGGTTAGAAAATCAAGTAACCGCCCAATTTTGTGTTGTGTTAACCCAAACCGCGGTGTTTTAAAGGCTTGACAAGCCAGAAACAATCGTTGGATCATAACGATGAACTGTGTATTAAGAAGAATTTGATCATAAATTAGAAGCAAGTACGGCTCGTAAATGGCAATTTTTGGTGGGCATATGTATGTTGAAAAAAAATGTGAGTCAAGAAGTTGATTATATACCGATTATTTCTTCTGCATATAGTGGTCCGATTTCGACATATTTATGGACAAAAAAAGGAGAGCCCATCGAAAGTTAAATGAAAGATTAGTTTAAAATTGATTTAAAATTGAAAGATTAGTTTGCCTAGAAACAGACGCACGTTGCTTATCCGTCTGCATATTGTTATACATATTTCTTAGCAAAATTATATAACAAGGGTACAAAATACAAATCCTACCTCCCAATATATTGATTGTGCACGTATATTGTGCAAGTCCGTTTTCCAAGTCTTTTGATTCAATTTTTAATATATGTTTTTCATCTTCAGGAACCTTCTCTCCATCCTTAAACAATGTTATTTCGGGTAATGGATCTGCTGTAAGTATCACACTTTCATTAACGTTGTCTCCCTTCTTTATTTTGATATCTCGTAGCCCGCTGCTTGAGATTTGTTTGGGTTTCCTATATTCTGCTGCACCTATGTATACAATTAACATTTTTCATTAAATAACATTTCTTTTTTGTAAATAATAAATATATACTTGACAGCGATAGTACTCCTTGGTGGCTTTTTTCCCCGCATTTATTTTTTATTACTACTTTGTATTCACCGGCATCCTTAAGGTCCAATGACTTTACTTCCAATTTATAACGATCCTAAAAAATAAATTTATTAAAATTGGATATGTACACAATACTTTTTTATACAAACCCCATCAACAGCTATACCAAAATGGTCGTCAGAAGTAAGAGGCTTCCCATCGTGATACCACATTGCCTCCGGTTTAGGTATACCTTTGGCGATAACTTCATATTTAAGGGGAAGGCTTTCAAAACTGTGTATTTGAAAAACATCAATGTGAAGAATTTCGGGTACCGCTATAAATATATATATATACAAATCTTTTATTACTAATAATACCAAATTATGTATATAATATTGTTATAAACTGTCAATCTTACTTAATTTATACAGATGTTCGGCACAACAAAGGTTATATAACATTGAAGAATTGCCATACTCTAACTCGCGAAATCAATTAAATTAAAATTCCATTTTTTTTTATAGTAAATAAACAAATATTTACAATAGAAAACGTTCTCAATCCACATGTCAGCGCATAACAGAAGAGCTGCAGAAACATTAATATACGATCTTTAAATCTGCATAAAAAAACAAGTAAGAAGCTCTAGTCGGGAGCTCTCGACTAGGTGACACCATGAACCCTCTTCTTCCAAGACGATATGTAGCTCGCGCCTCGCGCTTGTTAGCTTTAGAAGTAATAAAAATAAATTAAAAAAAAAAATAGTTTCCTCAGAGGGGCTGAACTCGCAACACACCGCACTAATTGCCACCGCCTCTACTTAACAGCCACACAAATAATTGAGTCTTAATAAGAAAAAACGGATTAAAATAGTTGAACAGGAAACAATACAATCGCAATTGCAATGCTGTTGATAGAATTCGAAGCTGACGTACATGACTGTGTGAGTACATGCATACAGAAATTCTTGGCATTTGCTAGCAGCCGTAAACACGTGAGCAGCCAAAATATATTTTCTATTGCGTTCACACATAAACACGTGACACCGAGTCTCACTTTGACCTTCGGTAAAAGTATATCTCACACCATGTTGTACAACTGCAGAAAGCAGCATAAAAATAGATAGCGCCGATGTGGTCGCTTAAGATTCCATTAGTGACCTACGCTAAGAAATGTCACGTTAGAATAATAAGTAGCAATGGTGAGGAAAATACCCTAATTAAACACAATATTTTATGATAACTGCTGCCATCAATGCATTGATGATCGTAAAAATCGGAACTGACTAGCTCATTTGGTGCTTCAAGCAGTGCAGTAAAATCAGCACGCCGAAAAAACAAAAATTCGATCTGTGTAGTACACACAGCACGCCGAAACAAAAAATATTTTTCCAGCTGTGCAGTAACAATGGCACGGCGAAAAATGTTGAGCAGTGCGGTGACAACGGCACACCGATCAAAAAAAGTTTCGAGCAGTGCAGTAACAACAGCACGCCGAAACAGGAAAAAAGCGAGCAGCCCAGAAGACCGACGCGCTTCTAAATGGCAGGGCGGAAGGCAGATGAAGAAAAACTAGTGGCCATATGGCAAGGCTCCCAAGAGACGAGGAGGCCAAAGGACGAAACTCCAAAAGGAAAGAAGAGAACTACAGGGAACAAGTAAGAAAAATCCTCCACCAGCATGGGAAGAAGACACAAATCTGTGGCTGAAAGTAAATGCAATTGAGCAACAAATAACATATAAAATTATAAAATATAAAATGAGAATGCGACCTTTGGCGCACCCATGCGAAAACGGCGGCAAGATCGCCTCGTAATACAAATATACATATAAGAGTTATAAGATTAAAAATATTCATATACAGTCCATTGAAGTTAAAAATTAAAATTAAAATAAAAAGAACTTGTAAAAAAATTACATCAATTTTAGTTAGAAAAATGCTGTCAGAAAATATCGAGTTAGAAGAGGTAGGAAAGCTGCAAAGGCTTAGGTGATGATTATGACTACTTCAATAAGAAAAAATACGATGTGATAAGGCTGATATAGACAAACTTTGGGAAAAATTTTCAGATAGCTTAAATAACAAAAGAACAGAAGAGAGGACGAAACCAGTTCGCCAAAACAAAACGAAATCAGAGGCAATAGATATGAAAGCCAATGAATTCGACAGGACATTAGGGAAAACAACAGTAAAATGTTTGGATTGAGGAGAAAGAAGATACTATTTCTTTGGGAAGAAATACAATTCTTTAAAGAAACGTTTGACAGCAATATTACGTTTGATAGGGGAATTAAAACGCTAGGTTCGATGTACAGAACAGATAGATGAACTAGCAGGACAGATGGAATTGTTGCATGTCAATTGTCAACCAAAAATGCCAGGTCAAAGCTGGTCAAAACTGATTTTGAGGTTTTTTCGAACAATTTTATTTTGCATAGAAATGATCGGCCGTCTTGAGGTGGTGGGTATTAATTGCCGTTAAAGCCATTCTCCAGGCAGAACTTTTCTATTTTAGTACGCCTACTGACGTTAAGATTATCTCAGTTAAGGTGTCTTTTCCTACACGGATTATCTATATTACATTTTCTTAAATCCCTCTATCTTCTGATATTCAAGTTTATATAAAACATGTTACTTGTATTAAAGCAGTTTCTTCACATGTGCGAGATAATGATCTATTTATAGTGTTGGGTGATTTTAATTTGCCGAATATCTCTTAGTCATTATTCACTGCCGAAAATTATCTAGTGCCCTCAGTACAGCACGATTTTATAGACTGCATGCTTCATCTTTCATTGTTTCAAATCAATTCAATTTCTAATCATTTGAATAGAATGCTAATGCTAATTTGCTAATGTATCCACGTCCCATCCTTTATCCCTTCCTGAGGATGTATATCATCCTACTTTAGAGGTTGCAATGTTCAATTGCAATACTCTCATTTTACATTCATTAGCTACCTATAAGCCCCGCCGTTGCTTTCGCATAGGAAACTATTCCTTGCTTAATCGACGTATTTATGAAATCGATTGGTCTTTTTTATATGACGCGGTTGACATGAATATTGCTATTAATTGTATATATATTTGTATATTGTATTTGTTCGAAATCCAAATGTATGTAACGGCAGAAGGAAACATCTCCGACCCCATAAAGTATATATATTCTTGATAAGCATCAATAGCCGCGTCGATCTAGCCGTCCGTCTGTCTGTCTGTCCGTCCGTCCGTCCGTATGTATGAACGCAAGGATCTCAGAACCTATAAGAGCTAGATACTTGAAATTTTATATGTAGGTGCTCCTAGTTCCCGCGTAGTTCGAGTTTATTTCCGATAATCTAAATTATCTAAATAACTTACTACGTTTCCAAACAATCGATAAAAATCGATATCGATATACTTTTTTTTTGGGAAATTTTGGTAAATAATAAGAACTAGAGTCACCAAACTTGACATATAGCTTCTAAAATAAAAAATAGATATGCATTTGATGTTGGTAGAAGAGGGTTCAGGGTACCCCCTGGTCGGGAGCTCCCGACTAGAACCTCTTACTTGTTTTTTGTATAATACCCTGAACCCCATTTTAGATGGTTGCATTCCTACAATATACAATTCCCTTAATTGATTCTTCAAAGCCACCCTGGTTCACTCCCAGACTATCAAACCTACAAATATAAAGTCTAAATATTTTTTTAAATGTTTAAATGGTCTAGTTCGAGTATTGACCTGGCCAAATATTCTATAGCCAAGTGGACTCTTACTCTTCCGTCTGTCCTAATAATAATTCTTATCATTACAATATTACTTCAACCGGTTCTATACCAGCTCCTTTTATTTCCGAATCCTCTGTTCTATTTGCTATGAATTCTTCAAGATTTTCTTACTCTCCTGGGCCTGAAAATGTTCATAGTTTTCTACACAAGGAGTGTAGTTCTTCCCTTCTTCTTCCATTAATAAAGCTGTTTAATCTATCCCTTGAATCTTCTGTCTTTCCATCTCTTTGGAAGGAATCTTACATCATTCCTCTCCAGAAGAAAGGTGGAAAGTCTGATATACCAAATTACAGGCGCATTAGAAAACTGTCCGCTGTTCATTAATTATTTCGAAAAAAAAAATTCACTACGAATTTGCAGTATTTCTGCAAATCTGTTGCCTCCCCTGATCAACATGGAATCGTAAAGAATCGATCAACTGCGACCTATCTGCTTAAGTTTACTTCCTTGATAAATGATGATTTTTTCGAAAATGCAAGCTAATGTCAGTTACACAGACAGACACTGGCGTTAGACTCTGTCCACCATGACTTCTTACTTTTTAAACTTGACCGAATAGGTTTCCCTCCGTCTCTTTTGCTTAGGATTAATTCTTATTTAAAAGGTAGGACCCGAAGGGCAATGCTGAGACAGACTTCCTTTAAACAGGCTCACGTTACTTCTGGTGTTCCTCAAGGTAGTCATCTTGGTCCTTTACTCTTTACTCTTTTTATAAATGATCCAACCTCGGTTATATCACATGGCCTATTCTATCATATCTATCATACACAATTGACAATACTCCATTGCAACGTATACTAACAGTTAAGGATCTTTGCGTTCTTTTTGATTCTAAGCGCACCTTCAATCCACATATAGATACCATCGTTAATGAGGCAAAATGTGTACTTGGATTGATTAAACGCTAGTTTAAAGAGTTTAACATTAACATATCTATTGTTCGCCCTATCCTTGAATACTGTTCTTGCATCTGGTGTCCGCAGTATAACAATAGCCAGGATTCTATTGAATCTGTTCAGAAGCTATTTTTGCTTTTTGCCTTATTATCTACATAACATTCATGTTTAATTCCTTTACTTTATTAATAACTTCTCTCTTTCTTTTTCCCTATTTTTAAATTAAGATTATTTTTAATTCTAACTAAACGCTTTTTTCTCTACTAACACCCTTCTTCTTAGCTGTAGGCTCTAATAGCGACACTGACAAAATTAGCTGTGAATAGGGGCACAGCTGGTCGGACTGGGAAATCAAACACCGGTCGTTGATGCCATTAGAAAATTGAGTACTCTTACTAGGCTTTTAGCATTCAAATGTTATTATATATGCAAATTGTATTGAACAATTAGGAGGACACTTGTTTTGTCGACCATTAATAAATAAATAAATAAACTGGAAATATTTTGGCTGTTGTTCAGAAGGCCATGAGCAGTAGCAAAGACGACTTTGACTAATGGGACCTAATTAGGAAAAGACGCTAGAAAGATCAGGAGACATTTAATGACAGCCATTGCCGGCTTGGTTAGCCAGTTATCCAACGAAAAATGCGAAAATAAGCTTGGAGTGCTTATATACGAACTATTGGAGGTCGCAACTCAAACTGATATTGAAAATAAATATGCAGCGTACCATATTCGATTGAACTACTATCGTGACTCACGAAGAATTATTTTAGCTCGTTCAATCGCTTGTACACTGAGTTAAGCTTAGAGGGCGAACGTAATGCTCAGTGGGAGGTAAATTGACATTTAAAGTTAAATTTCGAAAACAAACGCAAAACATTTAGTTTTTTTATTCCCCGTCAAACAAAGACATTGGCCTATTTCGCCAGCCGTTGAAAAGCTAATGTTCGACGCGATTGTGGAAAATACCAGTGTTGAATACAATAGAGCAATCGCATAGCCCCTGGAGCAGCAGCTACGCTCTTGTGCAAAGAAAGGATAAGAGGCTGTGTCTGAATTCTCTCATTAATAGCTACACTCCTAAGGATGCGTAACCTTTCCCTTATATCGACGGAATTCTAGGTCGTCTGCCGCAGACTAAATTTATAACAGGCCTCGATATGAAGCACTTATTTGGGCAGATACTCCCAAGGAAAAATCACGTCAGTATACATCTTGTACAGTCCCTAATTGAAAATTTTTTCAACGCGTGATATGAGCTCAATTGCGGACCCGCGTATTTTTCTACATAGATGATTTACTTCATCTTTCAAAGTATTTTGACTCTCATATGTTGCTTTTGCAGGAAGTAGCGTTACACATGCGTAAAGCAAACTTGACAATCAACGTCACAAAATCAAAATTTTGTATGCAGGAAAATAAATATTTGGGCATTATAATTGGATGGTCGACTGAAGACTGACACCGACAAAATCCATGCCATTAGAGAATTTCCTCTTATACAGAGTTATAAGCAACTGAGACGTTGTCTTGGACTAGATGGATGGTACAGACGTTTCGTTCACCAATATGTAACAGAAAGTTTTGAAAGGGAACACTGATGCTGATGCGACTTGAAAACACTTAACTTCTCTACCACCTGTGTTGGGTATCCTTGACTTCTTAAAACTTTTAGATTAGATTATTTAATTCAGCGCATGTATAGAAGGTCAGGATTTTAAAGTAATAACTGATCATGCTTCCTTGCAATGGCTCATGTGATAGAAGGATCTCAGACGACGTCAAGGTAAATGGATGATCAAGTTAAAGATTTCAAGCATCGGCATCGCCGCGGTCCTCAAAATATTGTCGCTGATGCGCTATCGCGTTAAAATGAGCCAGAACTTGCGGAATCCGAGGAGCAAGGTCCCATAGCTGTCTCCACCTGAATTCAAATCGCCCGATTATCTGGATCTGATATTTAATAATTACATATAATAATCGACAGTTTTATACACAAGCGTACTAAGCCAGCGACGGGAAATAGCACTTCGGAGAAACAATCTTGGAAGCACTGGATACCTTCGTCTTTTACCTTACAAGTGATTGAGGGAGCCCACAGTGCTCCTACGCTGCACACAGAGGAATCGTGAAAACAATGGAAAAACTTAAAACTTTTTTAAACCAAAAATGTCGGCCCAAATTTATGAATATATAGTCAATCTCGGCGTTTGTCAACAAACGAAAAGCCCTAATGAAATGTTGAGACCTTGAATGGGCACGCTTATGACATCCGATCGGCCATTTCAGCAGATTTACATTGTTCCTCTGGGGCCAAAGCCTTGGCCAAAGAATGTCAATATAGGTTTTCTGATGGTTATAGACCATAATACTAAATTTCATCTCTCGTGGCCTCCCCGCGCGTCCACTGCCAACAAAATGATCTACTATCTAGAAAACACCCTGTTTTTCACTTTCGGCGTTTTAAGCCTGCACCAGTTTTCATTCCCACTATTGTTGTACAAAAAGTAAGCCCAGCCTACAAGTATCAACCAGCTAATGAAAAAGGTAAATGCATAGGTACTTTTCATATCAAAGATATACAAACTGGTAATAATTATTAAATTAACAGCTAATATAGTTATTTCGGTTCCGCTAGCAAGAAGTGTTGCAAAAACTGTGGTGTAGTGGCTGCTTTGCAATTCCCAGAAGTATTTGCATCAGCTGCTACCTAGAACTCTACTTGGCTAATCTGCACTGCTTGGCTCCCATACTCATATGGTTCTCGTTTGGTTACTGCTTTACTGCACTGCTCAGCTGAAGACATGCGCAACCGAATACGGCGAATAGAGCAAGAGATCAATCAATTCAAACTCAAAATTATAAAAAAGTATTGCGCGCGTCAGACGAGTGAAAATAATGAATTTTCTGCCAGAGTGAAATGAATGTAATCCTCCACGAGAGCCATGTTCTGATCATTATGGAATATACTATTCCGCACATAACGTCGCGATCCTGGTAATGTCTTAATGGCAAGATTTTGTAATCGACGATTAGACAAGGTAATATTGCCACAAATGTGAATGCCATAACGCCAAATAGGCAAACGACTTCTCAGGAGCCATCCCATTAACTAAAGCGCAGCGAAACGTCAGGAGCGGTATGGTAATCAATATATATTATATTGTATTCGGCTTACTGGAATATTCATTAAAAAGAATCTAATTTCTTATTTTGAATAGAAATGCTTTGATACCTCACTTTTAATGGGCACAAGATATGTAAGTTAGACATGTTCTAGTTATTATATATTACTGAAAATAATAATTTTGTGTAATAATGTATTAAAATATCGTTAATATAAAAGATTATTTTCGGTTGCAGTTAATCTCTTATGAATATTTTAATTTGTAAGAAAGCGCAATTGTACAGCAATATTAAAAGAAAACATAATGTTCTTTTAATACAGGTGTTAATGAATAATGTATAATGTGTGTTGTTACCCCCATCCTCTGATTGTTCTGTAGTAGCAATCATTGCATTTGTCACGGTTTGTTCCATGGATATACAGTCGTTGTCTAAATAAAATATTCATTTATAAATTTTTAGTTTTATAAATTATCCAACATATAACTTAAATATAAATATTCAAAACAATATTCATTTGTTTATATACCCATTTATAATGCATAACGAGAAAGAAAAAAGATATTCGGCACGCCGAAGACTTAATACCCTTGCAAACCTAACCATTCAATAGTGCTTTGCCCGTTACTCAAAAGCACAATGAAAATATTTAATGCCGAATTTGGTAAAGATATCTTGAAAAACGAAAAAATTCAACACAGCAACTTAATTTTCGACCAATTGCTGCTATGGGAGGGAGCATAGTGAAACTAATAAATGCCAAGTTTGGTCAAGATATAGTGATAAACAAAAAAATGTCCATAAAACTTAATATTCGACCGATCGTTTTTTTGGAGCTATGATATATATGTGCATATATAGATATGTGGTTCGATCCACGATCTAGGATTCTGCTATACATGGGAAGCATTGTAAAAATAATAAATATATACATATTTACTGCGTGCAACAGAAAGAGACAGTTCTGCAAAGTTTCATAACAGACAGACGGACATGGCTATATCGACTCGGCTGTTGATGCTCAACAAGAATATATAAACTTTATAGGGTCGGAGGTGTCTCCTTCTATGCGTTACACGTATCACGACAAAATTATAATACCCTCTGCAAGGGTATAATGATTTTGTGTAACATTTTAGTGTTTGGCGAGACAAGCCAACTAACGTTATTTAATTTTATATTATATTATATATATCAACCAACTGAACACTCGCCAAGAGTCAGACGATAACTGGCGCCCAGCTATGTATAAAAATAAAATTCACGAGAAAATGTTTGTGAATAGTGTGCGAAGTAAAGTAGTAAAAAAAGTACACAAGATATAATATTTGTGCGTGAAATACAATCCCGGACTGGCTAGAAGCAGGAGAATAATGATAAGTAAGAGGCTCTAGTCGGAATCTGCCGACTAGGGATAACCTTAACCCTCTTTTTCCAACACCAAAAGCAGCTTGCGCTACGCGCTCTTTTGCTTTAGTAGTAACAAAGATAATTTTAAAAAAGAAACTTGCAGCATTTTCTACTCAACAGCCACATTAGAAACAAAGAAAAAAAAAAGTTTCCTCGGTAAGTCTTGAGCTCGCGACAGACAATCGCACTTGCCACCGCCCCTTCCCACACGAATAATTGATTCTTAGTGAGAAAATAAACGAATTTAAATAGTAGCACAGAAAACAATACGATCGCAATTGCAATGCTGTTGATAGAGTTTCAAGAAGACGTGCATGAATGTGTGTGTGTACATGTATACGTATATTCTTCTAATTTCCGCTGGTGCCGCAAACACGTGTTTCTTAACCGATCTTCATAAAATTTTACAGTATATCTTATTGTACCATAAAAAATTTGTGAATTATTAAAAAATAAATTGCATAAATATTGTAGCTTAAATTGGTGGGCAATACAAGTTGGATTATTAACTTGATTTATAGCTATGATGTAATAACAGGGAGGTGTCGATAGGTATAAAATAAAAGATACTTGATATATAAATACTATTCTAGAGTAAACATGATATGTTTGTGACTATAGCTGTTATTATTTACCCAATTTGGTTAAAAAACTGGATGTCGATATTTATTTTTAAGAATTGCATTGCAAACGCGGCAAGTTATCGAATATCGGAAACAAACTTGATCTGCACAGGGGCTAGGAGGACCTACAGCAAAAATTTCTCTAGCTCTTATAGGTTGTGATATCCTTGCATTTTTACATACCGACAGACCGATAGATCGATTCGGCGTGCGCAAGGAAAATTGATACATTGCATTTTTTTTAAAGGTGAATTTATTTTCTTATGATCCTGCATAAGGAACCACGACTATGTGACCCTGGAAGCGGTAAAACTTGCTTCGAAACTTTTGGAGTTGTGGGGTCTTTCCCTAAATTTAATGGGGCTCAGGAACACTATGGAACACCTTGGCGTCAAACAAAAATGGCAAATATAGACTTTAAAGAAATCATTAAGGAAGCTCGTGTCATTATCTGGCTAATTATAAAAAAAATATGGGACACGGCTCACAACATGTTGGCATCGTTCGGCATATGAGCATGAAAAACAAGGCGACCAAAAATATGTGGGGTAGAACATAGAGCTAGGCAAAAGCCCTTACTTCAAAAATAGCCATAGGCTTGTCGCAGGAGGGTTTCCGCGGTCGTGATCATGATTTCAATGTGCACTTATTCGACCGTAATCGATTTCATAGAGGCACGATGTGAACTCTTACTACGTAAATCCGTTGATCATATAAGCAGCTGTCATTAAACTATATAATTAACCTGATCATGCAACGGAAATGTGACGAAAAAATGTATTTAAACATAAAAAAAAAGTCTTACACAGCAGGTCCCCACCTATCGCGCGGCGAAAACAGAAAAAGACTGACACCAGTCCAGTTAACATACATGTTCGCAATAAAAATGCTCTCTTGGCACCACCCGATAACGACGATAGCACATTCTATCTGAAGTAGTGGACCTGTATCATCTGACCATAAGATCCAACCTAGGTAGGACCATGCGACTCCTTGCCAATGATGTGCTCACATACAGAGCCTTCGTACAGAAACTGGAAAGTCAAAAAATGCAATTCTATTCATACCAGCTGCTGGAGGAGAAGCCCTACTGCCTAGTCATCAAAGGCCTTCACCACTCCACCCTCAACCAAGAACCCATTACCGACCTGCGAAGCCAGGGCCATATCGTTCCCCACGTTCACAATTCTAGCAAGAAAGTCACCAAGGAGCCCATGAATATTCACTTTATTAACTTGCAGACGGCGGAAAACAAAAGGAGGCTCTTACCATAAAGAAATGTGCAAGCAAGTTGTCAAGGTGGAGTCTGCTCGAAGAAGCCAGGATGTGGTGCAATGCCATATATGCCAAGAGAACGGGCACACAGCCACATACTGTACAAAACAATACAAATGTGTTAATTTCGGGCTCATTTATATACGGCCCGCTTAAGTTTCGGCAACATGCGCCCACTTAAAATTATAACGGCTGCGAGTGGTACTTCACCGAATAAGCTAAGCGTGCTAGGGCCCCAAAGCTCGCCAAAATGAAAAATCTCCCACCGACTCAAGCGAACCGAAGCCGCAGCAATAAAATTCATGAACCTATCCTGGTAAATTCCCCAGAACACCATCCACTGAACAAGTGGAAGGACTTTCATTCGCCGCTTGCACCAGTAGAGGACTAGCTGCATTCAGCACAGAGAACAACTTACCCAGTTCTAACCAGCGAGAAGGCTCGGCGCAAGCCAGCCTACATAGACTGCTGAGAGAACAGCAATAGAAGAGGCTGACTGCGCAATAACAGACACAGCAGGCATCTGGAAACGGCGAAGGACTTTACTCTGCCATCAAGGACATGAGCCGAGCTATCGAGAGGATGGCTGAAATGCAACCGCAAGTTTTGGGTATGCAACAACAAATCCTTACCATTTTGACCGCGTTGCTATCCAAATGAACACTCCACTGAACGTGTTAATTTGGAATGCCAATGGCATTTCAGGTAAAGTACTAGAGCTGGAGGCCCTTATAAAAACACGTCATCGGAATAATTCGGCTGTCAGAAACTAGAGCAAATGGTCCTTCTTTCCCTAGAATCTTTGGCTTCGAGGCGTACTCTGTACACTGCACAAAATCGCTCAGCTAGTGCTGGCTGCGCAGTCTTCGTAGCTTTGCTCACTTCCCGCAATTGAGCAGTGCGAATCGTGTTCACCAATATTCGACGGTGAAAGTTTCCACTGATGCTGGAATCGTGGACGTTGGAGCATTCTTTTGCAGGCCAAATGAGCAGAAATCCAGTTGCCAGGCGATTGGAAAGTGCTGACGTCCACCATCTGCGTGGAATAGTGGACCTAATTCGTCAAAGCCCTTCCCAGGGCTAAATCACCGGACAATGATGGAATATGCCACACCCCGCAGAAGGCCCTGCCAATGCGCGCGCTCCTTTTAATAACGTTGATCTTCAACTCCATATTAAAGACGCAACTCTGCCCGGCCCAGTGGAAATTAGCGAGGATCCATAAGTCGGCCAAGCCGTATGATATGACCCTGAGTTAAATCGGCCGATCAGTCTCCTGCCTTCCTTGTCAAAAATGTTGGGAAAACTGATTGGTGCCTGACTTACAAGGCTTATGGATCAAATGGCCACTCTTTCTGATCACCTAGATTGGTGGATTGTTCCAGAAAACCAGGATGAGTCTCCCCACCCCCTTCTTTCTGCTTTTGCGCTCTTTTCTAATGGAGCGAAAGTTCGAAGTCATGGTTAGGACAGCAATCTCTCCTGTTCGCAATATGAAAGCGAGTTTTTCTCAAGGTAGCGTACTGGGCCCCTTTCTTTACAATTTGTACACGGCCAGCATCCCCTCTCCGGATGACCTACATAAGTTTGCCACCCCAGCAAACACTTTATGGCCACATTTGCCGATAACGTGGCAATATTTTACTCCGCCCACTGTGGGTACGAAGCTACTGGCGGGACCCAGGAAGGCTCCAGCTGTCTAAATAGATGGCAGCCCCCTTCACCCTGGCACAACCGGCAAGTATCTTGAATTGTACTTTATGAGAGGCTTACCTTTCGGGCTCATATCGACGGGTTTTCTTAAGCAGTGCCGCCTCAATTGGCCAAGTCCACCTGTAAAATCCCACCAGCCCATTGCCACTTTGCTGCAAACTGGTAATTCAGAACGTCATGGTGGTGCCAATTTGTAGATACGGTATCCAGGTTTGGGGCATTGCATATCGAACAAATATTCAAACACTCCAAAATTTGTTCCTGCGCCGAATGACTGGTGCCGACTGGTATGTCAGAAAATCTACCTTGCACAGAGCCCTCAAAATGGACTCTAATGACAGCCAAGTCGAAGCATTCGCCAACTGATACAACGAACGCTTGCAGCGACACTTAACCGGGTACCAAAGACCTCCCAGCGAGGTGTGTGGTCAGACGGCCCAAGAGAATGTCTGTCAAGGACTTCCACCAAACTAGATACAAGAAACGCCCTTCGTCACCTATATGACGATCCAGCCTTATTAAAAGAATACTCCTTTGACGTTTGTCCACGACGTTTGTCCAAATACAATAAACAAATATAAAGCAAGTAAGAGGTTCTAGTCGGGAGCTCCCGACTAGATGATACCCTGAACCCTTTTATTCCAACACCAAATAAATTATTAAAAAAACGGTCCCTTGGCATGGCTCGAATTTACAACTGACCGCAAGAAAAAATCAATTGCATTTAAATTGTGGTTTAAATTGGTTGGCAATAAAATTTGGGTTATATACTTTATTTATAGCTGTGTGGTGGTAGCGGGGAGGTGGCGATAGGTATGAAATGAAAGACACTTGAAATATCTATAATATTCTAGAAGCAACATATCATGTTTGGTGGCTCTAGCTCTTATTATTTACCCAATTTGCTAAAATAAACAGGATGTCGATATCGATTTTTATCGATTGCTTGGAAACGGAGTAAGTTATCGACTATCGGAAACAAACTCGATCTGCGCAGGAACTAGGAGCATCTACATCTAAAATTTCAAGTTAGCTCTTATAGGTTCTGAGATCCTTGAGCTCATACATACGGACGGACGGACTGACAGAGACGGACATAGCTAGATCGACTCGTCTTTTGATGCTGATCAAGAATATATATACTTTATGGGGTCGGAGATGCTTCCTTCTACCTGTTACATACATTTGGATTTTGCACAAATACAATATACCATTATACCCATTTTTAATGGGTTCAGGGTATGAAAAGGAACATCGGACCACTATATCATACAAATACCATAGGAACGATCGTTCCAAAATATATGAATAACTATATTATTTATCAAGATATCTTGACCAAACGCGGCATTTAAAGATTTCACTATGCTTCTGCATTTTTGCAACATCTTATTTACATCGGACTACTATGTATATCATATATCTGCCATAGAAACAATCGGTCGAATCAAAATCCTTTATTGAAGATATCTTGATTAAACTCGGCATTAACTATTTTCCTTGTGCTTCTTAGATAAAAACTAGGTTTTTGATTAAAAACCTTTTTAGTTTATTAAGATATCTTGACCAAACTCGGCATTAACTATTTCCCCTGTGCTTCTTATATACGGGCAAAGCACTATAAGCATTATGAAAAGGTTTTTGCCTTGGTGGAGATGTCTGTTCGCTTTGTTCATTTTGCGTGGTTTATATGTAGGCCCTTGCTCTATTGTAATCTTGTGCAATTGCAAAAAAGCTGAGTAGGGTGTTTCACCACTTGAACAAACAATAAAGAAGCCAGAGTTCCTGATGTAGGCGCATTATGAGCTCTGGCAGTCATAGAAATAGATGTTTTTAAAAGGTTTTTCGATTAGACTCGAACCTGACCCAACCGAGTGCTTTCACCTCCTCTACTTGACTTCCACATTAACAATGCATTTTCAGCGAAAAAAATTCAACGAATAAAATAAAATTACACGCACGAAGCGCAGAATACAAGACTGATATTTAGACAAAAAACTTGCAGTTCTTTTTACGTTAAAACCTTCTTTCGCAAAAAGTTTGATGAAAAACAGCTTTTTCTTTGGGAGCTGCGAAGTACGAATTCTGTAGACTTCACATTAGATTGAAAAATTTACCAAGCATCTTTAATATGGCCATTGATATCATACTCAAAATAATCAAAGATACTGTCGAAAATTGTTTAAATTTTTATAGGGCAATTCATTCATGCGTTAGAAGAAGATGTCCAGTCTTATATTGCCACGATATCGAATCAGTATAAACCTTGACAGCTGCTTTCGAAAACAAACGATGATAGAAGAATAAATAACTTGGACACGTCACTTCATACATTTCCCATATAGAGAAACACAAATCTTCACGAAGGATGTGGTAAACGCACTTTTCTCTGAACTCAGTATTAACATATTTTTGTCCATAAGTTAGTAGATAAATACTTGACGCAGAATTCTGCTTCAAAAAACGCATTTTATTAAAAAAACAACAACTCGAAAACGCAAGAATAGGTCAATAAACCAATCATTACAGTAAACATTCTAATAAAAATTGTAAAAAAATATATTTATTTCGGAATTTTTTTTAAATTAAAATCTACCTGTCTTCTGGGCAATAATTAAATGTTTTCTGTAAACGTCGGCAATTAGATATTGCGTGTTTCTATGTGTCTGTTTAGAGTAGGGGGAGCAGTGAAATGTGTGGAGTTAAACTCTTTGGAGATGGGTGAATTTCCTTTTGAGTCCAAGGAATATTGGGCTGGCTGTGAATTTTAATATTTTAATGATAGTCACTAACCAAGCATGCAAGGGCGGATTTCTTTATGGAGTAGCTCACATTATAAGAAATTATGTTATCAGTGGGTATCTGCTTCTAAACCTTTTAATTTATATGCATCGGGAACAAAGATGCGCAATAACATCGGCTCTGCAATTGCGCGATTGACAATTTTAATCAAGGATTTAGACACGATTTATTACCGAAGTGAATCTGAACACAAATCTGTCGTGACGAAGTTTGAACTAGATTGAAGTAAGCCAAATCAAAGTATGTAGCTTATTCCAAAGGGACCCGTCCAGGGTGCGGGACGTAACGATATTGCAGCAAAGCCAGCACCACAATGTCTCCACACGCTACCATAGCCAGGGTTTGCAGTCTTTCGACATTTAACACGAAAGAGTTTGATGGAGCGTTTCTATCTGCGGTGGTTGTCCTTCCGCAACCTCTTTTCAGGCACTACATAATTATCAAAATAATCGGTTAAGCTAAAGAAATTGTGGCTAAAGACCGTCACATCCAGGACTGCTTTGCATCTACGTGGGAAAGAAAATTAACCAGTGAGAGTATGACCTCGCTTTATTCAGTTAACTGTCAATGATAGAGCCGCTAACATGAAAACAAAGGAGCTATGCAGAAATTATTTAGCCATGGCGCATCAATCTCTCATAATTGATTCATCTACAACGGACGATTTGGCACGCTTCACCACTGAAACAACTCTCCTATCCTAATATAACCGCAACCGACCGTTAAAGATCCACCACTTCAAATCCACAAACCATCCTCCAGAATTATCTTATCCATATTTGAGCTACTAAGCACTCGCCCTGTTCTATTGTGGATGGGAAGAGACATGCATATAAGCTGTTATACCAAACAATTCATCGAGTGTTCAGACATAATCAATCTGTTTTATCCCATTTCCGTAATTGTAATTGTGTAATGTTCCAAAGGATATTGTATATAAAGGTGTTCTCCGAGCTGGAAAGCAGTTTACCTTCCTATACTGTCCAGCATTCGTGGCTTTTCCACTCGATCAATCAGTTCAGGGAAAACTGTGAATACAATGCTCACAAAACTCTGGGTGGCATTGTATATAACAGCCACAGCGGCAAATGAGTCTGATACGAGATTGGAAAAGCGCACAGTGTAGTCTTACCTGGCAACTATTCCGCCGTCTGACGGTGTCCATGCACAGTGTTTCGATTTGAATAAGGTGTTACGCGCTTGAGGTACGAATGCCGCTTTATAAAATGCTGTCAGGGGTAAGCGGATGAATACAAGTGCTAGCTTTTCCGTATCTAGCGGGCTATGGGATCACAAATTTATTCAAATTTTTTTTTAAACTTTGACCGTTCGACTTTAAAAGTTGCGTCGGTGCAAATCGGCTTTAAGCAACAGGGAGAGGCGACCTAAATTAACGGCCACCTTGCGTTTTATACCGCCAGAAGCGCCCAAATGGGCGGCTTTTCGGAAGCGGGGGTCATCCGTTTTCCTCCCTTTCCAAGTATGGCTTGGAAGTGTTTTCTACTCTCCTGTCGAATATCGCAGCATGGCTCAACTTAAGGTCTTGAGACTTGGCCATTTTCTAGTCGGAGGCCAGCAAAAAGACTTAACTCAATCCTACTCAACATCGTGAGGGCTGTCGCATGGAGCTTTCGTAACCAACTATTGTTGGAGAAAAATTCAAAGGTCCTGCCTACCACTATTGTCCTGCTGGATAAGCATCTATGAGGTTCGACGTCGGCTCACTCGCAGATCCATGTATTTCCGAATTCTGTCATTGGCCAGGTTCTTTATAATTTTATTACACCCAGATATCATCCAACCCAGCTTCGAGTAAATTTCACATATAACCACTAAAGACGGCATGCCAAATCCATTGCCAGAATCCAAATTGTTTTTGTTGCCCAAAGAGTATCTGAATGCAGCTAAACCTGACTTATTTGCCCGATATTGTAGCAAACTGCGTTACAAGGCCCGGATGTACAGTACACATGAAGGGATAAGCGCAACACAAACTTAAGAGAGTGCAACCTATGCTTTGGTCTAATCTAGCCAGTGAGTATATATATAAATAGCTTGAGCACCTACCTTCAAAAAGAGAAAAGAAATTAAGTATGCAAGAAATAAATTCGGCATCCATAACGATATACCAAACCTAGTACTGAATTTATGGAAATAATATCTAGCCTATACAAAACAATTAAGATAAGAGTTTTACATTATTAGAGGTAAACAAATTTTAAGTCCAAGGATAAACGTGACAATTCAATATATTATCTCTTTGATGTATACGAGAAAATAAAAAAAAACCTCCATTATATGTTAATTTCCTGAAATACAAAAATACTTACTCAAAACAATAACTTTGCAACTTGATGTTGTCTCTCCAATGAAATTTGATGCCTTCACTTCGTATGTGCCAGTGTCTTCAACTTTAGCAAGATTCAAAGTTAAGTAATAATTTTCAATACGTTGGGAATCTCTTATGATTTTGATGTTTGCATCTTCATGAATTTCATGCCCATTCTTAAACCTATCATTTTAAAAATCTTATTAAGATATAAGTATTGAAATAACTAAAGTAGCATATTTACCATTTTACATTCGCATCTGGATTGCTGTATATTTCAACTTCTAAGGTTAGGGAACTTCCTTCATTTACCTCAACATCCTTAAGCGGTCTTCTTATTTTCGGCTTACCTAAAAATGTAAATTCTATTTAATTATGCGAATTAGACTGCAAATAAGACTGCGCTAGTCGGACACGCTCGACCTGTTATGAGGTATAGTTATATATTTACATGTGTCGTAGATACATATGCAACAACATCTTACCAAGATTGTTGGACCCGAAATTTTGAGATAGATCATTATCATGCAATAACTGATATTTTAAATTTTGAAAACACATAGAAAAGTTATATTGCAATCAGATGCTAAGCCATCTTGCGGATTTATTTGTTATTTTCGTAGAATATCAAAAGTTCCAATATTGTAAAAATACATTGCATCATAATGCATTAGAGGAGCAGGGATACAAAGTTATTTCAAATTTGTTGCAAGTGTAATGTAATTGTTAGTTAAGCTTGGAGAGCTTAGCCTTAGGTTTGATGGCCGCGCTGTATAAGTCTGATATCCAGATCAGTCCTAAGTCGATAAAAATACTAACATATCGATGACCTTGAAAAATATATATGAGCACCTTTGCGAAACATCCTTTTCAAGAAACTGTTCTATAGCGCTGTCCACTTGTGAAGGTAATTCTGCTGTGCCATAGAAATATGTCGCAATGGCTTATCATATCGAATGTGAATAGTGTTTATATTACGGGCACCCACTATTTTTAATGCTGGAGCCAAGAAAACTGCTATTGAATAAAAAATCACAAGAATACGAAAATATGTCGCTGGAAGCAGATGAGTAACTTAAAATTCAATCTGTCGTGGCACACATTCTTATCGAGAAAAGCAGCGCAGCAGTATATTATGGCTTTAATTTTTCCTTGAAAAAGATACCCTTTTAAGACACCAATATTGTTGTTAAAGCTTAAAGACTCTTTAAGAAATGTTTGCTAAATGGCTGGTATATGAGCATCGCCCACGGTATTCAAGGTCGTATCTGATGAAGAAATCAACATAGCGCTGATCCCGAAGACATCATTAATTAGTGTTCAAGTGCGTGGACTAAGTTGCAGATCGTGCAAATTTTAAGACCGGTCGGCCCGGGCGCCACGCGATGCTATGCTAATGGATAACAACATTATCCACTTCCCATTATCCACGACTCCAAAAGGTGCCGCAATCGATGAACACCTGCAGTCGAACGAACACCTTATCTTCGGATGCAAGACCAACACACATCACCATGAACGGGTCATCAGTGATGTCATCAAAATGAGTTAGTGTAAGATTGTAAGATATCTTTTGTGTAGTCATTTGAATTAATGCTATCAGGGAAAAGGTTTTGTTAGTAATTCTGAAATTCTCATTCTAGGTCACGTTGCCAAGCGATATCAACATATCAGGGAAGATCATTGATGAAAAGAGTAAGAGCGGGCCAAGATGACTGCCTTGAGGAACATCGAAAGTCACCAGAATACGTTTAGAAAACGAATTTCTGAAAATAACCTTTTGGGTTCTATCACGTAAATACTGTGAAATCCAGTTCAAAATATTGATAAGCCGAGAAGACGTAATTTAAAAAATTGTAATTTTAAATTTAAATTTAATTTAAAGCCTTACTGAATAGTATAGTATAGTGTAGATGACGTCAGTCTGCATTCTTTTCTTAAATCCATCAATTACGATCGAAGTAAACTCAAGAAGGTTAGTGCTTGTAGATCTACGCTTCACGAACCCATGCTGGGAAGGTGAAATAATAGAACTAGTTAAATGTTGTAGTTGAGAAGTTATAATTCTCTCAAAAGCTTTAGGTATAACGGATAATTTGGAAATACCTCTATAGTTTTCGACATCGGACTTACCCTCCCTCTTATCAAGAGGGATAATGTATAATTACTTCTAAATGAATGGAAAAGATGAAGTGATTACGGACAATTCAAAAAGTTCGAAAACAGGTTTACATAATGCTGCAGCGCAGTATCTAAGCACGCAAGCAGGAACACCATCAGGGCCCGCTGAATAAACCGGCTTGATAGTGTTAAGCTCGCTAAGAAGCGAACCTTCGGTAAAAATGGGATTTAAGATGCAGATTGACCTCTGTATCTGAAGGATAAGGCTGATTTTTATTATACCTAGAGAAGGAGTAGGTAGTTTAAAAAATGTTTGCGAACAGATCGGCTATGCCTGGATCAGTGATCGCACTCTCATCTGCAAACTTAACCGAAGAAGGCTAAATAGAAATCTTGCGTTTAAAATTGACAAGGTTAAAAACTTTGTTAGGATTTTGTGAAAGTTGAAGGCGGCAAGGTAATCTTTAAAATGGATGAAATTTTGAGTGGAAACTCACCATGAAAACTCATCATCTCAACGCTAACCACAGCTCGAATGGAAAAATATCGACAATGAAACAGTATACTTAAATACAAAAACCAAGACTGAATGAAAAATTGTGCTGATAAAAGACAAAGAAGGCACGAAAATGGTTTGTATGTATAAGCTAACACGCGCAACAAATTTGTTGCTGAGTTGCCCGTGCAGGCGTTGAGTGAATGATGGACGGTCATGAGACGCTGACTCAGCAAGATACCGGCGACTCTGCCGGCAAACTAGTGCTTCGAGAGATAGGCTAAGATATGCTCAAATTTAGTTTTATTAATTGAGCTCCAGAGCCCTCACGGGTCTGCAAGAAATAAATCATTTAGAATGTAACAGCCCTTTTCCGTTAATTGACGCCCAAATAAAATCGGAAATAAACTCGATCTGCGCGAGAACTAGGAGCACCTACATCTAAAATTTCAAGTCTCTAGCTCTTATAGGTTTTGAGATCCTTGCGTTCATAGATACGGACGGACGGACGGACAGATGGACAGACAGATAGACAGACATGGCTAGATCGACTCGGCTCTTGTTGGTGATCAAGAATATACATATATACTTTTTGGGGTCGGAGATGCTTCCTTCTGCCTGTTACATACATTTGGATATCGCACAAATACAATATATCCTTATACCCATTTTTAATGGGTTCAGGGTATAAAAAGCGTTGAATATTTGGGATTCATAGTATCCAGGGATGGGATAAAGACCTCGCCTGAAAAGGTGCACACGATTTCAAATTTCCCAGGCCCACGCATGCTTTTTAACATTAGATCTTTTTTAGGCCTTGCGAGTTACTAGCGCAGTTTTATTAAAGATTACGCCAAAATCGCCAAGCCCCCCAAGCCCTCATCAGTAAAAACCACTCACGAAAAGTGAAATCAATTACAAACCTTTTCAAAGCTTAAAAGTATTCTTGCTTCAGAGGATGTTCTATTAACATATCCCGATTTTTAAAAACCATTCGACCTAACCACCGATACCTTCGGTTATGGTCCTGGAGCTGTTCTATCTTAGAACGGCCGTCCAATCACGAAGATTTCACGCACGTTGCACAACAACGGGCAAAGCTTCGTGGCAAACGAGACGGAGCTGCTCGCCATCGTAGGGTCACGAAAAAAGCTTAGAAACTATCCTTATGGGATTAGGCAAATATCTTCACAGACGACCAACCACTTACATTCGAGGTGTCCGATAAGAATCCTAACGCTAAGATAAAACGTCGGTAAAATAATAGTTTGTAGCGGATGAGCCCCACGCCAGCTAGTAAATACGTTAGAAGACAGCCCGGACTTGAACGTTGCCACCTGCCACAGCAAGGAATCATTTGCTTACACAGTAGAAACAATTGTCAATCCAGCTAACTGTTTTCCTAACCAGATTATAATAGAACAAGCAGAAGCTTCCCATGTGTCGAACTTAATTTATTTTTAAAGAAAAACTTAGACACGTAATTAGATTCGCCGAACGCGACACGCTATGGAAAACTTTGTTGGACGCAAGAAGGGTCGATGTAGCCAACGCAATACAAAATAGCCGACACATTCCCTTCGACAACATTTAAACACTGCAAATTCCTTGTCACAGACATTACCAACCCCTCAGATAAATCTCGAAACTCGTCAAAGAACAACCGATAGAGTCGCGAGCAATAATGGATATAAAATTTCCAATCTTGCAATGGGTCAACCTTTTCCCTAAAATTACGCCAATCTACTGCGATATGGAAAATCGCTGAACTCAGAAACAATCAAGCAAATTGCAGAGACCTCGGGACGACGGTCCTTATCAAAGGGAGGGCGGTGCATAAGGACATTTTGCGTTTGATCCAATCGAATCCCTTAGCATCTAAAATAATAAAAACTTTAACACATTTTAGGTTGACTTCGGGAAATACTTATAAGGATAACCTTGTCTTATGTGACCGCCACGACAATATATAAGGACTACTCACACACAAGACATATACCCATTGTTGACAACGACGTGCCGATTTGGAACAGATTCGTATACTTAGGACATACTAAAAACATATCCTCCTATGAGGACGTATAAACACATTCTTAGCTACGCTAGGGGTTCACCATAGGCCAGCCCACAGCATAATTTTGCTAGGCACCGCCCTAAAGGTCATTGCAGGGGCACTGGACTTCAACAACTAGCAACATGTTGGATTCAGAAAACATGCACGTAGAAATTAATACAACAATTCAAGAACGACTAAGTTCAATCACGGACTCACTTAATTCTATCCACAAGACGAAAGAAACAGATACCGAACAAAAAGGAGACTATACTGCCAGGGAAAGGATAATAATCTCGGACTTAGAGAATTTACTTTTAACTGGAACTTTAGCTAAAATAGACTTCATCTGCCCAATTATACTGACATCTAAGAAGTCATGAATGAACATCTCACAAACATTAGTGTGCCTATCATTTTAGCAGTATCTAGGATAGTTAAGGTTTATTATTATAGTATAGGACTATTAAGGCAAGAACGTGGAGTCTTGTGCAGAACAACTTTATCTGGAACCGACGCTACATGAAATACACGCATGGGCACCTGGATCCTTTTACGGTGTTCGACGGTGTTATCATCATAAACGACGCAACCATGGACGCCATATCCCCTAACGGGGACAACCAATTAATCTTCGGAACCTATCTTCTGACTTTCGCAGATTACATCTCTCTGAACAG